TCTCTCTCTCTCTCTCTCTCTCTCTCTCTCTCTCTCTCTCTCTCTCTCTCTCTCTCTCTCTCTCTCTCTCTCTCTCTCTCTCTCTCTCTCTCTCTCTCTCTCTCTCTCTCTCTCTCTCTCTCTCTCCCTACTGCTGTAATATGAACACATGAAATAAACTGATCCAAAGGATTGAGCGTGTTCTGGTGGTTTAATGACATAAATGTGATGAGCAAGTGAGCCATAAATAATTAATGGTCAATTTTGCGGTGGGCCTCTGAAATATTGAGAGACAGCTCAGACATGAAATGCAAATGGATCTATTTATAGAGCAGCAGAGGAAGTCGTGTGGAACACTCTGTGGGGGGGGGGGGGTCCTCGCTCGTGTGGCTCTTTGAGACAAACGACAGGGGACACACACGCCACCCACATTTGCATGTACAGCTACTTTTCGTAGGGACATTAAACTTTTAAATACACACACACACACACACACAGAAGCAATGAAAAATGTCCTGACCGAGAATGATGGAGAGTCCCAGCTCAACCATTTCCTCCGTCGCCTACTACACCTCCCTTCTCGCTGTGTCTCCTGAGACGGTTTGTGGGTAAACAGGACAGGAAGTGACACATTGAAACCTCTTTTTATTCATTCTGAGAAGAGGGAATGTTCATCAGGCTGATGGGAGCAGAGATGCTGTGCGCCACATGATCTGACACCAGCCAGCCAGAATAAGGCAGAACCTCAAATCCCCTGTAGCCAGGATTGTCTTCACACCACTGGGAAATGCTGGAGGAGATGCTGAAAAACTTGATCACACTCTTTTAAGTGAGAAGTTCTAAGGTTTGGAGTGAAAGTGGGAGAACAACATGGCTCTTAGCTGTCAAAAGTGCTTTAGTTGCAGCTTTATGATCTTTTTCAGCCATTTTACTGCAGAATTGCTGATCCAAACATCCTCCGCCAGACTGATAGACTCAAGTTAGACTCGAGAACACATCTGCCTACAGAGAATATCATGTGGTCTCAGTGACTGTTTTGTTTTAATCGTATGCTCACTGATTAACTGAGACTTATTCATTTCTGTTGATTTTCTGCTGCTTTGTTAATTCCTTCAGTTTGTTTTATTGTGTGAGGTTTTGTGTGGAAAGTGTTGGTGACCCTCTAAACCTGACTACAAACACGCCATACCTGTTCAGTCATGTTTAACTCCCTACAGTCTGTGTTGTAGCTCTCCGACCCCGGGGTACATTCGACATGAGTACCTCAGGTTTACAACTCTTACAAAATTCAGCAGCTCGTGTCCTGACTAAGACCAGGAGGCAGGAGCACATTACACCACTCTTAAACAAGCTGCATTGGCTTCCTGTACATTTCAGGATCGATTTTAAGGTTCTTTTAATGGTTTTTAAATGTTTTAGTAGTCTTGGGCCTTCTTATCTCTCAGAACTGCTTCATAAATACGAGCCTTCGCGGTCCCTGCGCTCCTCTGGCAGCCATCTCCTTGTCATTCCAAAAGTCAGGACACACTCCCAAGGCGAGGCATCCTTCCAGGTTTATGGCCCTTGCCTCTGGAACAGTCTGCCAGAGGACCTCAGGGCCATAGAGAGTGTTCTCGTTTTTAAGGCCAGGCTCAAGACTCACCTTTTAGTATAACTTTTAATTGATTTTGATCTATTTTAGCCTGTTTTTACCATCTTTTATATATTTTATCAGTGTTTTATTACTTTCTCTTTTTAATTAAATAACACATATTTTCCTACATATTTATTTTAACTTGCGATAATTATTAGTTTTAACCAGTCTTAATACTTTGTTGTACAATATTTTCGTCTTCGTCTTCGTCTTCATCTTCCTCCGCTTATCCGGGTCCGGGTCGCGGGGGCAGCATCCCAATTAGGGAGCTCCAGGCCGTCCTCTCCCCGGCCTTGTCCACCAGCTCCTCCGGCAGGACCCCAAGGCGTTCCCGGACCAGATTGGAGATGTAACCTCTCCAACGTGTCCTGGGTCGACCCGGGGGCCTTCTGCCAGCAGGACATGCCTGAAACACCTCCCCGGGGAGGCGTCCAGGCGGCATCCTGACCAGATGCCCAAACCACCTCAACTGGCTCCTTTCGATCCGGAGGAGCAGCGGTTCTACTCCGAGTCCCTCCCGAATGTCCGAGCTCCTCACCCTATCTCTAAGGCTGAGCCCGGCCACCCTACGGAGGAAACTCATTTCGGCCGCTTGTATCCGCGATCTCGTTCTTTCGGTCATTACCCAAAGCTCATGACCATAGGTGAGGATTGGGACGTAGATCGACCGGTAAATCGAGAGCCTGGCTTTCTGGCTCAGCTCCCTCTTCCCCACGACAGATCGGCTCAGCATCCGCATCACTGCAGACGCCGAACCAATCCGCCTGTCGATCTCCCGATCCCTCCTACCCTCACTCGTGAACAAGACCCCGAGATACTTAAACTCCTCCACTTGAGGTAGGACCTCTCCCCCGACCCGGAGGTGGCAAGCCACCCTTTTCCGGTCGAGAACCATGGTCTCAGATTTGGAGGTGCTGATCCTCATCCCAGCCGCTTCACATTCGGCCGCGAACCTACCCAGCAAGAGCTGAAGGTCAGAGCTGGATGAAGCTAGGAGGACCACATCATCCGCAAAAAGCAGAGACGAGATTCTCCTGCCACCAAACTCGACACACTCCACACCACGGCTGCGTCTAGAAATTCTGTCCATAAAAGTGATGAACAGAACCGGTGACAAAGGGCAGCCCTGGCGGAGTCCAACCCTCACTGGGAACAGGTCCGACTTACTACCGGCTATGCGGACCAAACTCACGCTCCTCTGGTAAAGGGACTGAATGGCCCTTAACAGAAAGCCACCCACCCCATACTCCTGGAGCGTCCCCCACAATATTTTATAAATTTAATTATATGTTTTTTACTTGGTTATCTTTTATCACAGTGTTTTATTTAGATTTTTATTCATCAGCTGTTTGTGTTTAATTTGTTTCTTAACTTATCTTGGTCTCATTAGTAAACTAGTGTTTCCTCTGTGGGGGCCGGCTGCCCCGGGGCCAGCGGTGGGCTGTGGCGGCCGTGGTGCTTCCCATGTCTACTCTTGCCATGGTTATTGCTGCCAGTCTTGGTGCTCCCGGTGCCATTGGTGTTGTCGCCAAAAAGGTCAAGAGGTCATCTGCAACATATATTGAGTTGAATTATGAGTCCTTAGGTTAAAAGCTTACTGAGACTGTAGGAGCCAAAAGCTGTGTTCTGTGTTTCAGTCCAACTTATGTAAACCAGCTCCAGTAAACCTTGAGCTCTCGGATCATGTCGGGATAACAGGGCTCGTCGACCTCTGGGCTGGAGGGTGCGTCGACCATATTGGGAAGTGTAAACATCACCCCATCCTCTCTCCACTTTTATCAATGGACTGTGGGAGTAACCCAGGGACAAAAAGTATAAATTTAGGACTCCACATTTGGTCGAGGTCTTTTGTAGTTGGCTGTCCTGAGCTGTGAGATGAATGAATAAAGAGACCCGCGCTGTCTGGCTGAGAACTCCGTCTCCGACTCCTTCTTTAAGAATAACAGAGAAGCCCACATTGGCTCCTTTGATGGCGTTTTCATCTTCTTTGTACCTACTACATCTGCACTCAGCCAGCTGCCCTTTCTCTATTACGTGTGCGTGTGTGTGTGCGTGTGTGTGTGTGTGTGTGTGTGTGTGTGTGTGTGTGTGTGTGTGTGTGTGTGTGTGTGTGCGTGCGTGCGTGCGCGTGCGTGCGTGCGTGTGTGTGTGCGTGTGTGTGTGTGTGTGTGTGTGTGTGTGTGTGTGTGTGTGTGTGTGTGTGTGTGCGCGTGTGTGTGTGTGTGCGTGCGGGAGTTTGCATCTGCTTGGGACGGGATTGAGGGTGGGAGGAGGGAGATACAAAGGGGATCTCTTATGTGAATCTGTGTGTGTGTGTGTGTGTGGGGGGGGGGGGGGGGTGAAACCGACTGCTGTCTGGTTGTTTTTAATACTGTGAAGCACTTTGAGCTGCATTTGTATGAAAAGCGCTTCATGAATAAATTTTGATTTAATTTGATTTGACATGTCGTGTCCTCAGATCATTGATGACAGTTTCAAAGATTTCCTACTTTTCTTTATTCTCTCTAAATACAGAATGATCGCATGAACCAAATACAGAAGATCTCTGCTGATGTTGGACAGAAGCCACCTTAAAAAGGTGGTAATCTTCTGCCATCTACTGGTGATGGGGTCCACATACAGGTGTCAAACCACAACAGAGACGTGTGTGTGTGTGTGTGTGTGTGTGTGTGTGTGTGTGTGTGTGTGTGTGTGTGTGTGTGTGTGTGTGTGTGTGTGTGTGTGTGTGTGTGTGTGTGTGTGTGTGTGTGTGTGTGTGTGTGTGTCAGAGGTTACAGTACTAAGAGCTGCATGGGCTTTACTGATGCTACTGATAGCTGTAGTTTGAGCCTCTGCATGTTGTAAGTCAGACTCTAATCCAGTGGAGGACGGAGTTTAAGGACAACGTTGAGCTAGAGGAGAAGTTGTTTGTTGGTGATGGTCCCAACAGTTGTGGTTCCTACTGAAAAAATACCCATGGGGGTTTTCCATGGAAACCAAAACAGGTAGTGAGGCAAGTGTGTGTCCCCTCAAAAACAAATGTATCAGAGATTATCATTTGAAATGTTGGACTCTACCTTGTATTAAACTCGGCTCAAAACATCTCGTTTTCTACCTAACGTAAAACTCGAATGCACCTGCTGCTTTCACTGTGATCCCGTCTGACCTCACACACTAGTGAAAACTTTCTCCAAAGCTGGTGAAATATCTGGGGAAACCAAACTTATCCTCAGCTGGGCTCTGAGAAGATTAAACCAGCTTCATCAGAGCAGGTTCACAACTCAAAATACCCCCCACCCCACCCCTCCACACACACACACACACACACACACACACACACACACACACACACACACACACACACACACACACACACACATTTGTGGGTCCCAGGAATCTGAACTTACTCATGAGAACAGCCCACCTGCCCCCTGTGAGGGTAATAAGAGGGTTAGGAGAGCCCTACGGACCCTCCAGACACACAGGTGAGACGGAAGGTGTTTGGCTTCTGATGTTGCTCCTGGCTGCAGCCAAAGCTGAGAGGATCTTCTCTGGGTACGTTTACACCTCCTCAGTTATAATTGTTTTGATTTAATGTGACTGGCACAATGGTGTTATGAATAATCTGCCTCAGTGCAAGATTTTACATTACTGTACTGAGTTACGTTTTATAACTGAACAATCGTTACCCTGAAAATGTTATGTAAACGCCTCACTGTAAGCATCAATGCAATAAAACACAAATGCACCACTAAAACAGAGAAAACAGTCAGATCAAGTTATTCAAACCGACGTGTCTGATGTAACCAAGCTTTGTGCCAATAAATCAGATATTACTGAAGATTCAGATTAGGAACTATAAAACAAGGTCTCACAATGTTCCCTTTTAATGTTCTCCTGGAGGTTCTCACTCCGGTTCTGAGCTTCAAAAGCTGCCAGGTGTGTTCCAGTCACAGGTGTATGACTGACTCCTTATTGGCTCCTGACTGACAGCTAATGGACCACCTTGTCATGCTGTAGAATAAGCAATGCCAATATGGTGACTGACCTTAACCCCCAGATAGAGAAATGGGATGGCATTCCTCAGGAACATTTGACCAAAACGGGTGCCCAGCATAAGAAGGAGGAGCCAAACTGTTGTCTAAAATAAGGAGGAGGAGCCAAATTGTTGCCTAATATATAGAGGAGATGCCAAATTGGTACCCTTTATGATAAGAAGGAGCTAAACTGGTGGTTAGCATGAGGAAAAGGAGCCAAGAATGTAAGACTGACTGCCAAGAAGCAACAAAATAAATAATCAAACACATAATGCATCACTTTATGAGTCAAATTTATTTCAGTAAACATTATTGTCTGTTTTTCTATTGTTGAGGATTTCAAATGAATGGGAATTTTCTGGTTTTGAGAATATTTTGTGTTAACTATATCAGATACTGCCATAGAAACGACTGTAACATTAGTAAATTACATTTAATTAAAGACCGTAGGATAATAAAATTTCATATCGAGTATGAAATCCATCCTACGGACCACTGGTTTATTTAATCAGAAGATTGGAACTTTTTAATGCAGGGATTTAGATAACACTTTGTATTAACTGAGAGACAAGAGAAGAGAGAAAACTTCAAACGTTTAAGATGATTTATTACTAAATAATTTTAAACAATTTAAACAAGACTAACTCTACTAATGATGGATGTTCAGTTTGAATGAGGTGTGAGTTGGTTGGTGTGTGTGTGAATGAGTGTTATTCAGAACTCTCGTATCTGGAGAGACAAGTTTGCGTGGGAGATGATGTTTTGCTCCTAACTGATCAGAGTTTGACCAGGGTAGTAATAAACATGTGAGACGCCATTTTGTCGCATCCACATACCCTTAGAGTGAGACCTCCGTACAGATGCAGATGCCAGGTCCACGACCCTCCTCTGGTACTGGAGCCGATGGAACAGCGTCGACAGTACGACAAACCAGGCTTTGGATAGTCTCCAGGTAAAAAGCAACAGGTAGTTCACAGCATCAAAATGGGACCCTCCTTGGGTCAGCAAGTTCAGCTTTTATTCTGAAAGGAACCGTTGCTTGGTTGGTAAAAACAACAGATTTTTCCCAGCTTGATGGTTCTCAGCTTAAAAAGTGAAGTACAGATGGCCGGTCCGATACTTCGCTTAGCACGCGGTGAACTCAATGAGATCTCGAGAACTGAACTTAAGATGGCGTTGGAACTGTTTTATTAATCAGCATGTTTTGAATTCTGGTCGAATAAAGCTGGCAGATGTATAAACACCACCGAGACTATGTCACGCTTCAGACTAGGAAGGTTCTGATTGGATCAGCAACAGCAATTTATCATGCGTTGTTTACATTACGTGTGTCAGTGTGTCTAGTGAACTAGATTAAGTCATTTTACTTATTAAACATATTAATCATAACATTGTGATTTCACTGATCGGTCACATTGTATTATTGACTAACAGTTGTTTTGATTAGCTTGATTGAAAATAGAGTTATGTGATTTAATAAAAGAAAAGAGTCTTCATCTTCTTTTTTCTTTTGCTGGAAAGTAAACAGTTTAGAAGCAAATGCATGACCTTGAGGCTGTTTCATGCACTCTGGCGCTGTGTCAAAGGCAACTGTGGGAAGAGGTTAAATAACCTTGAGGAATAGCTCCATCATCACGTTACACGACTAAGAAATATGGGAATGATTGTATTGCTCATTTACAAAGAGATATAGATCAAACTGTGGGAAAATATGCTGTTAAATCACCAGTTTTGTTTAAATATGAAGTAAAAACACCATCCACATGCTCCATCCAGACTTGTAGGGTGTTGGTTCAACTGCTTTTTCTGTGTGTGTAATCACCAAGGACCACTGGGATTCCCAGCAAAAAAGATAGGATAGTTTTCTCTTGTTTGATTTTGGTCTTTGTGGAGAAAGCAAATAGACAAATGAGGAGAAAACCTTACCCACAACACACTGCCCTTAAAGTGACTCAACACTGACACCTGTCCTTAGCCTTTAAGCACAAGTCAGGTGTTCAAAACAAGTTAAACCATCCAAATTACATTAATCTAAGCTAATTAATAATAATAATAATAATAATAATAATAATAATAATAATAATAATAATAATAATAATACATTTTATTTAAAAGTGCCTTTCAGGACACCCAAGGTCACTTGACAGAAAACACTTGATAAAATACAATAAAACAATAATAAAACCAAAACAAGAAAAAAACAAAGAGAGAAACAGTTCAATAAAATCAGAGGTTGTAGGCAGATTTAAACATATGTGTTTTGAGTTTTGTTTTGAAAATGGTAAAACTGTCGATGTTCCTGATGTCTGGGGGAAGTGAGTTCCAGAGACAGGGAGCAGAGCGGCTGAAAGCTCTGCTCCCCATGGTAGCGAGACGGGCAGAAGGAACTGCAAGATGGATGGAAGAAGATCTGAGAGAACGGGATGGGGTGTTAATACTTATAAGGTCTGAGATATATGGAGGAGAGAGGTTGTGGATTGCTTTGAAGGTATGGAGGAGAATTTTGAAGATGGACCTGAATTTAACTGGGAGCCAGTGAAGCTGTTGGAGAACCGGGGTGATGTGGTGAAAGGAAGGGGTTCTGGTGATAATACGGGCTGCTGAATTCTGGACCAGTTGCAGTTTTTGAAGGAGTTTGTTGGGGAGACCATAAAGAAGTGAATTGCAATAGTCGAGACGGGAGGTGACGAGGCTGTGGACGAAAATGGCAGCAGTGTGAGGGGTCAGGGAGGGGCGGAGACGGTTTATGGAACGTAGATGGAAGTATGCTGACCGAATTATGTTATTAATGTGAGCTTGAAAAGAAAGTGAGCTGTCAAGGATGACACCCAGACTCTTGACGTGAGGGGAGGGGAAGACTATGGCGCTGTCAATAGTTAAAGAAAAGCTGTCAGATGTTGAGAGGGTGGAGTTAGTGCCAACTAGAAGAAGTTCAGTTTTATTGCCGTTGAGTTTGAGGAAATTAGAGGTGAACCATGATTTGATTTCAGAGAGGCAGAGTGTAAGGGAGGATGGTGGGAGAGTTGAGTTGGGCTTACTGGAAATGCAGAGCTGGGTGTCATCCGCGAAGCAGTGAAACTGGATATTGAATTTGCGGAAGATTTTGCCGATAGGGAGGAGATATACTACGAAGAGGAGGGGCCCCAGGACAGAGCCATGGGGCACACCTGACTTGACTGGGGAGGGTTCTGAGGAAAAGGATTTTAACTGGATGAACTGAGTGTGGCCAGTAAGGTAAGATTGAAACCAGCGGAGGGGGGTGTGAGTGATGCCTAAGGAAGAGAGTCTATTAAGGAGGATGGGATGAGAAATGGTGTCAAAGGCCGCACTCAGATCGAGGAGAATAAGAATAGAGATTAAACCAGAATCAGCAGCAATGAGTAGGTCGTTAGTGATCTTGATGAGAGCTGTTTCTGTGCTGTGGTGGGGACAGAAGCCAGACTGAAACTGTTCATAAAGGTTATTGCGGGTGAGATGGGAATGGAGCTGAGATGCAACAGTTTTCTCTAGGACTTTGGAAATGAAGGGAAGATGGGAAATGGGATGGAGGTTATTGAAATCATTGGGATCCGAACCAGGTTTTTTTTTAGAATAGGGCTGACTGAAGCGGATTTGAATAGGGAGGGGACCGTACCAGAGGAGAGTGAGGAATGAATAATGGCTGTTATAAAAGGGAGCAGAGAAGAAAGGCAGGATTTAACTAAAACTGTTGGAATAGGGTCCAGTTGACAGGTGGAAGGTTTGGATTTGGTGATGTAATCTACTAGTTCTGAGGGATGGGGAAGTTTAAAGGAGGAGAACTGGATGGAGGGTTCAAATAAATCAGGGGAGGGAGGGGAGGAATGAGGTAAAGAGAGATGGAATCTATTGACCTTATCATTAAAAAACTGAAGGAGAGAGTTACAGGTTTCTGAAGAGTAAAGATGGATGGGTAAGGAGTCGGGAGACTGAAAAATGCTGTTCATGATGGAAAATAATGTCTTAGTGTTGCTGGAGTTGGACGAGATGAGACCGGAGTAATACTGAGATTTGGCATGGGAGATGGAGTCCTTGTAGAGAGAAATCTGAGCAGAATAAAAGTATTTATGGATGGTGAGACTGGTTTTCTTATAGAGTCTTTCAAGCCTCCGGTTAGTAGCTTTCAAGGAGCGTAGGGCAGGGGTGAACCATGGAGCAGACCGAGTAAAATATACAGAGCGGGATTTGATGGGAGAAAATGAATTAAAGATAGAAACCAGACCGTTATTGTACTGAATGACAAGATCATCGGGAGTAGAGGACAAATTTGGGGTCAGGGTGGCAAAACTGGAGGACAGGGAGGCTAGATCAATGTCCTTAATATTACGAAATGAAATGATACGGGGTGACTTGATGATGGAGAGACGGAGGGGAACAGAAAAGGAGATGAGGAAGTGGTCCGTGAAAGAGAGCGGGTCAGCTGTGCAGTTGGAGGGGGTCAGGCCGGAGCAGCAGATTAAATCCAGTGTGTGACCTTTAATGTGAGTGGGAAAATTGGCATACTGATGAAAACTGAGGCTGTCCAAAGATGAGAAGTCTGCTGAGGGGGAGGGCCATATTGTCCATATGAATATTAAAATCACCAAGCAAAATTACATTTGGGGAAAGGGTGGACAGATGGGATAAAAGAGCAGAGAGTTCATTTAAAAACTCAGGGCTGAACTTGGGGGGCCGATAAACAGTGACAATCAGGGGCGGCGTTAGGCCCGGCTACTTGGGCTGAAGCCCCGGATGTTTCATGAAAAGCCCGGATCTAAATCGCGGAAGTAACATGCAGTACCAAAGTCCAACAGAGAGGGAGAAGCTGGCAGTAGTTTGTATACAGCCTGCCTGAGCCTCCACCACTGAAGAAGAAGCCCTTCAGCAGCCGGCTTCTTCTACAGTCTCTGCCTGAAACGCATGAGTGAAGATGGACATAAGGATGTTTTTTAGACCAAAAGTACTGCGACAGAACCCCAGCTTTGATGAGACTGGTGCTGACTCAGGTTTGTGGGTCTTATTTGAAAATATCTGTTGTGCTGCTGGTTTGCCTAAAGTTAGCTTACTATCAGGTAATGTTGTTGGAGAAAGAAAGGGAATATTTACTATCATCTCACACTAAACACTAACAGGAACAATACTCTGCCCTGAAAATGCTTAATATGTAGCTTCAGATTAAAAATTATGTGGTACAAGACATGTATGATGTTGACTAGTGCGTGTCACGTGTGTGTGCGCGCGCGTGTGTGTGTTAAGCCCCGGATCTTCTTCAGTCCTAAATCCGCCCCTGGTGACAATTATTGTGGGGGTCAGGCCGGAGAGTTGACAGGCGAGGCATTCCAGAGTGGTGAGAGGAGGAAGGCTTACGGGAAGGACCTTCCAAGATACCACCACCACGGCCTGACCCATGTGGTTTGGAGAGGTAAACAAATCCAGGAGGAGTACAGTCATTGAGTTGTGAGAAATCGCCGGGTTGTTGCCACGTTTCATTCAGACAAAGAAAGTCTAGCTTATGGTCACTGATGGTATCTTGGAGGAGATGTCCTTTACCAGAGAGGGAGCGAATGTTGTGAAGACCAAAATTAGCAGTGCGGAAGTCCCTGGCGACTAGCCAGCCGGGCTAACACGCTGGAGTCGGCAGCTCGGCAGGTATTCCTGGGTAGCCGCCGACGAATCGTGGACCAGAAGGAGGGTATTCCTTTGGAGCCGTCGAGATGGAGGTTCCGCCGGGACCCCCGATGGATATACCAACGGTGAGGCTGGAAGGTGATGCCGGGGAAGAGGCACAGAGCTGGTGGTGGAATCTGGAGTGGTGGAAGCAGAGGTTGAAGAGCTCTGCCACCGAGTACTGGAGAAGGCCATCCACGGACAGAAGAATGAGCGACAGGATGATCCAGACCAGTGAGAGGCACAGAGAAATCCTGCTGGACCACATTATGGAGTGGAGCAGGGAGGTGGTGACGTGGAACCAGAACGCAAGCTGAGCAGGTAGGTGAAAATGAGTTTTCACCGACACAGGGATATGACTCGGGTGAAAAAGAAGTAAAAACACAAAAAGTTTGCCGGCGAGCAGCGGCAGCCAGACACGCCAGCGTTCACTCAACCAGAAGTAATTGGTTTCACACTTTTCAGGTTGTGATCCAGTGCCAAGTGCAGACGGTTGTGCTGCAGTTATTTGATTTTACATTTATAAGCAATTACCTGAACATCTGAATCGCCTCTGCTGGTCTCACTGTTGGAAGAGATCTAATAAAAAGAAAAGTGTCTACAGAGAAAACGACTCTGTTTCAGTGATCAGGTCATTAGAGTCCATGTGCAGTCGGAGGAACAGATCCAGCTGCTGCGAGCTCTGGAGTCTGAACAGGAGCTGGAGGTATAAACATGAGCACACACACACACACACACACACACACACACACACACACACACACACACACACACACACACACACACACAAACACACAGTGTGCCAGTTTAGTTGAGTCAGTGAGGTAAAAAGACAAATAGAACTAATTTGTATCACTTTTTGTATCACTTTATTTTGGAACTGCGCTGCTCTGGGTGGCTGCATGTTGGAGTAGCTCTGTTGATTATATGTAAGTTTTGCCTTTTCTTGGACATTATTTCTTCAAGTTTCTCAAGAAAATTGTATTTTCTGGACATTTTACTTTTCTGTTTCTGGTGCTGTGAAGCTTGGAGGATTTTTACTATTTTTTTTACTTTTTTCACTTTTTGAGCATTTGTTATGATGCGTAACCATGGCAACAAGCTGGTTTACAATTGGGAGCAGCTAATTACCATTGGGAAGGCTGAAATAATACCTCAACTGAAGCCACAAATCCCAAATGAGCTAAAACGCAAGAAGTGTGGGTGCAGAGCAGGAGCAAAACGGAGACAGAGGAAGAGGAAATTCAAACCATCTCTTCAATCGATCATAATGGGCAATGTGAGATCACTGGCCATCAAGATGGATGAACTCCAAGCCCTTTAAAGGACTCAGCCAGAGTATCGGCAGTGTAGTGTTATGTGTTTCACTGACACGTGGCTGCAGGACCATATCTCCGATTCCAGTCTCTCTGCCAGTATTCCAGACTGTACGAGCAGACAGAGATCTGAAGAGGAGCAGGAAAAGAAAAGGAGGTGGAGTGGCAGTGCTTGTCAACAACAGATGGTGCCATCCAGGTCATGTTTCAGTGAAATGTCGTCTCTGCAGCCCAGATGTTGAACTCTTGGCAGTAAGTTGTCGCCCATATTATTTGCCAAGAGAGTTCACCAGTGTTGTCTTGGCAACCGTTTATATTTCACCTTCAGCCATTGCTGAAAATGCATGTGATGCCATCAGTTCCGTTGTCGCTAAGCTACAAACCCAGCACCCCAATGCATTTGTGGCTATATCTGGTGATTTTAATCATGCCTCGCTCTCTGCTACACTTCCAACATTTCAGCAGTTTGTCAGCTGCTCCACCAGAGAAAACAAGACATTGGATTTGTGTTATGCAAATGTAAAGAATGCATACATGTCCAAAACAAGACCTCCTCTGGGACAATCAGACTACAATCTTGCTTTTCTCTGCTCAGAATACAAACCACTTGCTCCTGTGCACCTGTGACAAGAAGAGCTGTGAGAAAATGGTTACAGGATGCTGAAGAAGCCCTGCAGAGTTGTTTTGAGACCACAGATTGGATGACTCTCTGCCAAGGATATGAAGAGGACATCAATACCATGACTGGATGTGTCACTGACTATATAAACTTCTGTGTGGACAACATCATACCCACCAGAACAGTGAGATGCTTCGCTAATAACAAACCCTGGATCACCAGTGAACTGAAGAATCTGCTAAATGAGAAAAAAGAGCCTTCAAGGAGGGAGACAGGGAATTATTGAGGAGTATACAGAAGCAACTGAAGAACAAGATCAGAGACAGCAAGGAGGCATACAGGAAGAAGCTGGAGAACAAACTAAAGAGGAGAAATATCAGAGATGTCTGGTCAGGGATGAAGAAGATCACAGGCTTCAAGCAGAGGAAGGATTGCACAGATGGCAGCCTGGACACAGCCAATGAACTGAACAAGTTCTTCAATAGGTTCAGCTCAGGAACAAACCCAGCATCCTCCTCGCCTGTCCCCAGCCAATCAGACATCCCATCCTCCTCTGATCCAACATTTTCCTGTCACACGCCAGCTCTTTTGACCTCTAACGCAGTCATGGACTCTTCTGGTTCTATAAATCTGTCTTCAACCAAGTCAGGAGATGCTGCTGCCCCATTTACCTCCCCCTCCCACCTATCTGTCTCTAGAAGTCAGGTGAAGAGGCAGCTGGAGAGATTGAACAGGAACAAGGCTGCAGGTCCAGATGGTGACAGCCCCAGAGTACTGAAGGCCTGTGCAGAGTAGCTCTGTGGCATTCTGCAGCACCTCTTCAACCTCAGCCTGGCCCAGGAGAAGGTTCCAGTCCTGTGGAAGACATCCTGCCTTGTTCCAGTTCTAAAGAAAACTCGCCCATCAGTCAATGACGACTACAGAACGGTTGCCCTGACATCCCACATCATGAAGGTCCTGTAGAGACTCCTGTTGGTCCACCTGAATAAGCAAACTAGAACATATCAGGACCCGCTGCAGTTTGCTTATCGCCATGGAGTTGGAGTTGAAGATGCCATCATCCAGCTGCTTCAACCAACCCAATGTCATCTGGACAAAGCAGGCAGCACTGTGAGGGTCATGTTCTTTGATTTCTCCAGTGCATTTAATACAATCCAGCCTGATGTACTTTGCCAGAAACTCCAGAAGACACAGGTGGGGGCCTCAACTATCACCTGGATTAAAGACTACCTGACAAACAGACCACAGTTTGTGAGGCTGAAGAACTGCACATCAAACCAGGCGATCAGTAACACTGGAGCACCACAGGGGACTGTACTCTCACCATTTTTTTTCACCCTGTACACCTCAGACTTCCAGTACAAGTCAGAGACCTGTCATCGACAGAAATACACAGATGACTCTGCAGTCGTCGGGTGTATCAGAGATGGACAGGAAGCTGAGTACAGAGAGCTGGTGGAACGCTTTGTGGCATGGTGTGGAAATAATCATCTGACATTGAACGTGAACAAAACAAAGGAGATGATTTTAGACTTCAGAAGAAACATGAACATTATTTATTAATTCAGAAGATTTAAAGAGAGTTTTGCTCGTTCAATGACCAAATATACACCAATCAGTGTTTTATTCAAAGAAGAGTCAGGTTTTAAAAAAGTTTAGGTTTAAAAAAGAATTTATTACTAACAGTTTAAAGATGACAATTTATAAAAGCTTTGGTGTTAAAACTTGGTATTAAAGCAATCTGTGTCTGGATGAAACTAAAATTGAAGTGTGTGTTTGGATGTGTGCATGTAGTCTCAGAAGGTTTTTATCTTAGAGAGAGAAAAACATGTTCTGGGTGAAAGAGTTTGGTTTGCAGCTAAGCTAAATTATTTCTTTTCTTTTTTTGGGTGCAGGCGGAGGGAGACTAGGGGGTCTTAGCATACCTCTGTTGTTGCTTGGCTTCCTGGGGCTGGAGGCTAGGAGGGAGATCTGGGCGTCTGGTTGGGGTCTGGGGCGGTGGGTTGCTGTGCTCAGCATTGGGCGGGGGAGCCTGCTCATCAGCACCCCAGCAGAAAGGGTCAAACTCTGGTAACCGGTGATGGTTGTACCCAATGTGCAGCAGTACCGGGACCAGAGTGAATAGGGTGTGTATGGGGAGCATAAGTGGGTGTCCGGCGTGCACTTTTGTAAGTCTTTGGTTGTATGTGCATGTGTGAGCATGAGGGAGGGAGTGTATGACTGTGTTTGTGCATGACTGTAAATGTCAGGTGGGGCCTTTGACTCCTACCCTCTCCTGGAACTTTTTTTGATGATATAGATCTTCGTCCCCCCTCCCCCTGCCACACCTGGTGTGGACTGTGGTGCCTTGGTCTGCCTGAGTGTCCGTGACTCCCGGGTCAGGGGGTTTAAGATTTTTGGAATCTGCCTGATCAATCCCGGTGGCTGCCTGGTGGGATCTGTGTCCCTGGGCTCTGCTGGGTCCCCGGCGGGGGTTGTCGCCCCTGGGTCCCGGGCTCAGACGGCTAAGGGATGGGGGGCTGCGGGCGGGCTGGTGGGCTTTCCGCTGATATCTCTCGGGACTCTGCCAGCTGCTGGTTGCAGTCTCCTTGGGGTTCCTGTGTTCTGGGGCAGCACCTGGATCTCTGGGACTTGGAGCTCCATCCGTCTCCTACGCATCTTTGGGGGGCGGATCTGTGGTCCCTCACACTCTCTATTGGACGCTTTTATAGAGAAACCTTACATAAACAAGCGCGTGTACACACACAGGTGCTCACATGGTGCTCTCATAAGTATGGGCTTGGGCATGTTCAACCCTTGTCTTAAGGCTGTTGTTGGCACTAAATGCACTGTGATTTATTATCGTGTGATTGTTCAGTTAAACAGTGTTGATTTTATATTTCATCATCAGGCTGATGCAGTGATAGCTTGCTCCTGATGTATTGTTCTGTGTCCCATTTTTGAGGTCTAGAAGCAGACTCTTGTTCATTATTGTTTATTTTCGTGGGACCCCCCCCCCTCCTCTCTCCCCACCTTTTGTCTCTTCCTTTCTCTTTCACCTCTGACTCCGTGTCTGGTCAGAATTACAAAGCATTCAAAAACAATAACAATAAAGTTTTAAGTATCAGGCGTGACATTAAAAGCAGACGCTTTGATGCTCCACCTGAGAGTAAATCTGTAAGGCTTGTTACCAGCATTCAGACATCAATTCTGTTTGCTTCACAGCCAGACAGGACACGGTAAAAAAAAAAAAAACTAAAAAGCTAAATTATTTCTTAATAAAACAGGCATTCCAGACGCAATCTGTCGGAAGCGTCTACCCCACCCAGTTAGGAGACCCCCTTTTGGATCCGAGATGTCGGGAGGAGATGATGACCCCCAAGCACGAGGTGGGTAGAGGAACCGTAGTGTGACCAAATGGGTCCTGATATGTCTCCGGGTCACAACGACTGATGAAACTGGTTGCGTCTCAAAAATCAATAACTCTGAAGGAGTTTTGCGTCAGCTTGCTGCAGATGGCGTTTTCTGTTGAAGCAATTCTATCAGCAAGACAGAAAAGCTTTAGTAGAGGTTACGAGCGGCCGACCTGATCCCCTGGACTCTCGTGCCATGGAGAGATTTTGGTGAGCTCAAGAACTGAACTTGAACTGAGGAATTTGTCACGTTGTGGGTTAGGAGGTTGTTAGGACCCAAGATGCAGAATACCCCAGATGACACGAGGCAGGAGCGGTTTAAAAGTTCATCCTTTTATTTAAGATGATGAACGAAAAAAATAAAAAATAAAAAGGGCAGGAAGCCAAAAACAAAAGTCCTGAACCACAGGAGACCGAAAGCTCACATAAAGCACAAAACCTGGAGATGAGATACAAAAGCTCACATAGAGCACAAACAATGCTGACAACAAACAATGGACCGACAAGACAATGAGACAGATACAGGGCTTAAATACACTGGGGCATGATGGGAGGCAGATGAGCTGCAGGTGTGTGGGGAGAGAGCCAGGTGAAAGCAATAACTAATCAGGGAGTTATTACTAAACACTCACACACCTAGCTGGAGAAGGACACACACACACACACACACACACAACTGAAATAATAGACCTATAGGCATAGGCGTCATTTTAACCGGGGACGCCGGGGACATGTCCCCGGCAAAATTTGTGATTGGCAGCTGTGTCCCCCCCACTTTCAAAAAAGCCTGCTGATGAGGATTTTTGTTTTACCAGCTCAGATCTTATACCAGGGGTCGGCAACCTGTTCCCATCAAAGAGCCATTATTACCCATTTCCCACAGTGGGGGATGGGGGCGATGCAACACCCACGCTTTTCTTATTGAGATCATTCAACACCCACACTTTTCCAGCTGTTTTGCTCACCTCCACACCAGTCTGGATTCTTTACATCACACTCTCTCTGTTTGCCTCATCTCCTTCTTCACCTCCCGCTTCTGACAGCCGATGTCGGGTTTCCAGGAGAGCAGGAGAGGGAGGGAATAGCTAGACTGAATTCATAATTTTACATCTTGACATTAGCTGTACAAAGTCTGAGTTTGATAAAGTGAAGAACAACAATTTGCAGAGGTTTATAACAGGCGCGGCGCCAGGTTTTCATTTTTGGGTGTGCCACGGTAATTTTGGACGGACCTTAATAAGCAGTGACTTAAGTGAAGCAGGCAGGTCGCGCTAGAAAATTTAGTTTAAAAAGACGACATAAATGTTTTCCCCGTCATTTTAATTTCTAAAATATGAAGTAAAAACTCACAATTCACTTTTCATTCATTTGTCATTAATATGTAGTCTACACCCGTGTGTTAAGTGGACCATCTTCCAGTAAAAGCAAAGCATCCAGCCCACCTCTCCAAATGCGTAAAATGTGCATCAGTTGCTAGTTAGGCGCGCTGCGCGCACCGTCAGCTACGTCAGCCAGACAAGAGCAGAGCAAATAGAGACAGAATAGAGGATAATTGTGTCTGGATGTGGATGGAGATTACATTTTACAGCAGCCTGATAAACATCACCTGTCTTCTAGTCCACGCTATCAGCATTATTTTAATTGGTGTGTGTGTGTGTGTGTGTGTGTGTGTGTGTGTGTGTGTGTGTGTGTGTGTGTGTGTGTGTGTGTGTGTGTGTGTGTGTGTTTTCCACATCAAACACTGGTCTAACCAACCAGACCAGCATGTCCAGTAACATATTAATGTTACAATTAAACAGTTTCACTTCATGTAGGCTAGGAACTTTTCACCTGCCGTGGCCCGACCGCTTCTGCTCCACATAAACTTTGTGCGTAATCAGATGTCTCTACAGGTGCTTTCTGAGCCGAAGAGGCTATTCTGCCTCAGACTGGATGCGTCATTCGTGTCCACATTGGGCTGCATGGTGGCGCAGTGGTTAGCACTGTTGCCTCGCAGCACGAAGGTCGCAGGTTCAAAACTCACCTTTCTGTGTGGAGTTGCGTGTTCTCCCCATGCATGCGTGGGTTTTCTCCGGGTACTCCGGTTTCCCCCACAGATCACAACATGCCCTATAGGTAAAAAAAAATAATCAAATAAATTGTAAGTCGCTTTGGGTAAAAGCGTCTGCTAAGCACATAAACAACATAAACAACATAAACATAAACACATTAGAGACGGGAACAAGCGCTGTTCAGCCAAAGTTTCATAATTTCATAAAAAGAACATTTTTCCAGGTGACACATCCCTCAGAGAGACTGGGTTTCCAGACCGCTTCAGTGGGAGGAAATCTTATCGCATGCACCGTGGTTCTGCGCTGCGATCCCCGCTACAGATCTTCAGCCCACTGTCCACTGTGGGCGCTCCGATCCGTGCTGAACACAGTGTCCAGTATAAAGCTCTGACGTTCTCATGGGAATCATTTCTTGATTGATTTAGTTACCTACGCGATGTGTGTTAATGATTAAAATGTCAGCTCATCTGTGTGTGCATCAGTGTGCGTCGGGGTAATTCTTTCAAAACAACCAACATCCTTGAGTTTATCTGTCAAAATAAACAGTCAAATGGAAATATCTGTAACCTGCCATTTAACTGTTTTGCCTTCTTGTGAAGATTGTTGCAAAGAGAAACAACTAAACTTGATTAACCCCAGAGCCATGCGTATAAGCTGTACGCCGTGACTGTAAATGAGGGGGAAACGATTTAATCGGATCCTATTCTTTTCACCATGGTTTAATGTAAAGTTTCATTCAGTACAATCTTTAGTTACACCAATCTAACGAGACAGAGCCTGGATTTGTATTCTGAACAGTTTAAACATGTTTAAAATGGAGACATGCGTGACGCGTCTAAAGTTCGCACCTGCTCCGCTATTATGGAAATTAAACTAACAAGATGAATAGTATGAAATTATTTTAGGCACAGACAACATCCCCCACACTTCTGAACAGCTTGCAACGCGCCTGGTCGCTCGTGTACGTCAAAGTTATCTTTCATAAGACGATAATCAATAAAACGATTTATATAAAGTGGATCCATAAGTTGTAGCCCGTCTCTGCCTACAATTTATGGTATTTTTCACCCTGTTGGTGGTTTTACTGAGCAGGTGCCACTTTTGTCATACGTTTCTTTTTAAAACATGTTTAGACTGTTCAGAATACAAATCCAGGCTCTGTCACGTTTGATTGTTGTAATTAAACTTTGTAGGTGGGGAAGGTCAGAAAAGGATCCGATCATTTTGTTTTTCCCTCATTTACAGCGACGGAGACAACGGCGCAGTGCGCCTGGCTCTGGTGTTAATCAAGTTAAATTTTATCTCTTTGCAACAATTTTCACAAGAAAACAGAACAGTTAAAAGCAGGGCTTGTGTTGACCGGACAGTTCCCGTATTTGACCGTTTATTTTGACGGAGAAAGAATAGAAAGAATTACCCCGACGCATGCAAACGAACTGACATTTTATTCCACTGAAATTGCAGATGTAGCTAAATCACTCAAGAAAAGATTCCCATCTGAACATCTGAGCTGGACACTGCTCAGCGCAGCTCACTGTCAGCGTGTACTACATAAGGTGCACAGCAAGCTGAAGTTGTGGAGAGGGGCTTGGAGCACGTCGCAGAACCAGAGCGCATGCGGGAAGATTCCTCCGACTGAAGCAAGTGTTTTCCAAACCCTGTCTCCCAGAGAGACTTGTCACTTAGAAAATGTTCCCTGATGAAGAAACTTTGGCTGAATGGTGCTTGTTCCTGTCTCCAATGTGGCGACACATCCAGGAGCCGTCTGAGGAGAAGCCCAGAATCTCTTCAGCTCAGGAAGCGCCTATGATTACGCACAAGCGTGACGCATCAACCCGGTCTCACAGTAAGACCGGGTTGGACCTGTTCAGGTTTACACAGACAATCTTTACATTTAGAATTGGCATACAGATGTAAAATTAATGCAGTAAAATATAAAGCATTTTATTTAAATATCCATTCATTATTTTACAAGCACAGAGAGCCGCATCATGGAAGAGCCGCATGCGGCTCCAGAGCCGCGGATTGCTGACCCCTGTGCTAGCCTACTTTATTGTCCCCAGCAATTTTTAAACCCCACTCAAGTGTATGGTTATTGTCCCCAGCAATTCTGAAAACAAACTGACGCCCTTGCCTATAGGAACTATGGTGGGGAGACTAAGAGAACATGAAAAAACCAGGAGGGAGCTGGGGACAAAAAGGGCAGGAGCTACAAGGACACAGAACGTGAAGGGACACCTGGAGGGGCTGGGGATGATTGAAGGAAAAAAGGACCTGGGAGGGATGATCTAGAGAGCTGCTAAACAGGAGACACATGAGGAACACAAAGAGACACATGAGGGGAGATGCAGACGCAGACCATGAATGAATTTTGGTTTTAACATACCTCAGAACACACCCTCCCAAGATAGAAAGCTCTGGTGTTATGGAACAAAAACATGTGAATGCAGTTACCTTCAACCCTTTAAGCCCCAAAGTCGCAGAATTGCAACAAGCAGCAATGTTGGATTTAATAAGCCACAGCAGCAAAAATGAGCCCTCATGCAGTTAATACATTACACAGCGGGGTGGCAGACACCTGTAACTTCAATCCAAGCAGCATTTGTGGGTGTGTTACTATTGAAATTTTTGGAGTATTTAGAACTTGAATCCCGCCCACCAGTCGCAGAGCTGCGGAGCTTGTCAGAGCAGTCAGATCGAGTGAGAGCGAGCGAGTGGTAAAGGGAAAAAAAACACAATGCCAAGAGGAATGTTCAGTGCTGACGAAGCTCTTGTGTAGTACCAGCAGATTCGGATTCGGAGGAAGAATATTTCCTTTCCAAGGATGATCTGCAGTCTTCCAGCGAGATGGGAAGTGTGACTTCAAATCCCAGCAACAGGGAGTCTGACGACGCGGTTACTCAAGCAGCCCATCCAGCCCTTACCTTGTCCGATGTTTCGCGTCACCGTGTAGTACCAGGTCTGATCCTTCGCTCCACCATGCCGGGGGGGAGGAGGGATGTGGTGGCGATGATCGAGCCGGTGAAAACTCCGCTGGTGATTGATTCAGCCCTGGGGGTGTAAACCGCAGGAAATGGAGCCGGAGGGGGAGAAATTGCTGGGTCGGGGAAAGACAGGTGGCGGCTCGTACCGCTCCGTGCTGGAGAAGGGGGGTGATGGGCCGGTGAAAACTCCGCTGGTGTTTGATTCAGCCCCGGGGGTGTCAACTGCGGGAAATGCAGCAGGAGGGGGAGGAACCCCGGGAAAAACATCACTGCTAGCAGGGGGTGGCCCAACTCAGCCTCAGTGACAATAATAATGGTGATGGCTGAGTTAGTTTGGGAGAAGAGGAACAGTATTCCAAGTGGATCAGCATTTTGATGAGCCAGTTGGATACTGTGGAGACAAGGATCTGTCGAATTCAGAACACATTGATTTTCTGTCAGTTTTTTTGGATGAGGAATTCTGGACCCTCATCACAACTGAAACTAACCGATATGCTCACCAGTATTTAGAGAGGGGAGGAACTGAAATCTAGCTCCAGATATAATGACTGGTACGATGTAACTGTCCCAGAAATGAAAGCGTTCATTCAGTTCTGCATGGGGCTTGTGGAAAAGCCTGATTGAGGATGAGTGAAATGTGTTCATGACACAGATATATATATATATATATATATATATATATATATATATATATATATATATATATATATATATATATATGTACATGTATATATATATGTACATATATGTATATATATATATGTACATGTATATATATATATGTACATATATGTATGTATATATATATATATATATATATATATATATATACATACATATATGTACACACATATATATATATATAATTATAAACAAAATAAACCAAAGAAGGGATGAGTGAAATGTGTTCATGACACCGAAGCACCAAAAACAGTGTTCTTGATTGATACGCAGTAAACATAACAAAATACCAATAAAGTAACAAATATTATATATATACATACATAGTTATATATGTCTACACAGGAATATGTATAGATGTATCATAAACAATAACAACACTGAGAAAATAAGACAAAAACATTTTTAAAAAATCTGCAAATGTGATGCAATCCAATATGGCTGCCACCTGATGACGTGATGACCTGATTTACAATATTCCTCTATGTCTAACCAGATTTAAGCTACAAGCTCTTTAAATGGTGATATAAAAAATTCATATTTTACTGAAAAAACTATGGCGCCTAAAGGGTCAACCTGATGTCTGTGTCCTGCATGGTGTGTATAAGTGCACATGATCTTCTTGTCACCTTTAAACATTACTGATTATCACAAATAATAATTATTATTAGCCAAAGAATAATAATTCAATTCAGTAATTAAATACATTTATAATGAACCATGATGATTATGTCATGGCTCTGCTTTTTCTCTGCTGCTGTGCTCTTAAGTGTTTGCAGGTGAGCAGGTTGGAGAGCCACAGCAGGCCAGAGGATATAAGGAGCGGTGTTGCCACACTTCAGCGCCGGTTGATACTCTATTGTTGGGTACTCTAGTTCTCCTCGCTCCGGTTTGAATCTAGCCTCGTGTTTGTTTGTTTTTTTGTTTTGTTTGTTTGTTTGTTTTTTCCCCCGTGCTCAGTTTTATCCTTCTTGTCTGCTCCAGTACCAATCCTGGATTCTTGCCTCAGCTTCCTGCTGCCTGAAGTGGATTATTACCCAACGCCGCTCAACTCCTCTGGTCTCCCGCTCTCCACCACTCACCTGTCCTGGATTACTCTACTGCCTGCCACTCCTCTCCACCAGACCATCTCTGGCTCAGACCTGACTGGCCTCCCTCTCCTAATCAAACCCCCACTTCACATAGTAAAATTTGCAATTCAGAAAAACGTGAAGGAATTATAAGCCTGTATTTAAAATATTATGAATTAAATGTGCGTTATATGGAAGAACATCAGTCATCTCATACAGTTGATTTCAGGCAGAGTGTAGAAGAAACCGGCTGCTGAAGGGCTTCTTCTACAGTGGTGGAGGCTCAGGCAGGCTGTATACAAACTACTGCCAGCTGCTTCCTCTCTGTTGGACTTTGGTACTGCATGTTACTTCCGCGATTTAGATCCGGGGCTTTTCATGAAACATCCGGGGCTTCAGCCCAAGTAGCCGGGCCTAACGCCGCCCATGGTCCAAACCGAAGTAAACTGCACACCTACTCTGATCTGTACAGATAAGATTACACAAAACAGAGTTAGCGTCTTAGCTCTTTAACTTTAAAACAAAGATGAAAACACTATAAGAAGGTCTCCTTTGCTTTTTGTGTGCTGAGCTTTGGGAGGCCATCGGCTGGCAGAACATTCTCCCCCTCTTTCTTATCAACTTTTTACTTCCTTTAAAAGCCTAAATCTCTGAGAAACTGTTTTTACTTGATATTCACAATGAATGCAATTATATCTATGTATGACCTTTACCCAGAAACACACTTCTAAATCATGAAAATATATCCTGATGCACAGAAAATCATCGAAAATGTATTACTTTTCACTTTTTTTTAAAGAACATACTAATGCTCTTAAAGAGCCAGAGGTCAGAGAAACCTATGAATAAGCATTAAGTGCCTCTAGATGGCGCTATAGAAATACAGGACATATATTCATACATTTGATGTTATACAATCTTTGGTAGCCAACTGATCGTCAGTGGCAGTGTATTAGTGAAAACAAACCTTTACTTATTATTGTTTTTGACTACTGATATTTTGTGTGTAGTTCAGCACCGGTGGCAGCAAGTGGCCTGCGAACTGGATCGACACGGGGATCCACTCTAGGGAGTGGGTGTCTCAGGCTACAGGAGTGTGGACAGCCAATAAGATACTCATTAACATAGATTAGGCAGTTAGAAATTCTAATAAAATAACAGAGGACAGCCGTTGTGGTTGATGTGGCAATATCAAGTGGTGGCAACATCAAGAAAAAGGAACATCAGAAACTAGAGAAGAACCAAGGCCTCAAAGAAGAACTTCAGAAAGCCCGTAGAGTGAAGGCATCGGTGATGCCCATGGTCATCGGGGCACTCAGGGCAGTAACCGCCAAATTGGAGGAGTGGCTAAAGCAGATCTCAGGAAATACATCAGACATCTAAGTCCAGAAAAGTGCAGTTCTAACAGCTAAGGTACTGCACAGAACCCTCAAGCGCCCAGGTCTCTGGTAGAGGACCTGAGCTTGGAAGGATGAGACCACCCGCGGAGGGTGAGATGGGGATTTTCCATTCTTTTATTTATACATATATAGTTTTAGGTCGTTAAAAGCATGGATAAACAGACTGAAAAACAGTTTCTATGCAAAAGCAATAAGCAATATGCACATTAAATACAGTGTAGATATAACTTTCATCATTATCCTTCTAAACTGTGCAATATCATGTGTCGTGCAATAATGCATTAATGGAATGAGGATGTGAATGTGAGTGCATATGTAGTACGTCTTTAATTTATTTCCTAACTTATTTTTATGTCTTGTTTTATTCTCATTTATTTCTTGTTTTTATCATTTTTATGCACCATAGGAGATGGCACCACTTTTTTAATTTCATTGTACTTGTACAATGACAATAAAGGCATTCTGTTCTATTCTATTCTATATAAATATCTGATGAGTGTTTTAGAGAGTCCTGTTAAATGTATGCTATGTTAGATTACCACTGATTATGGTCGTGATGCCTCCCTGACCTCCCTGCTGAACACCATGGATATTTACATGCTGATCCTGGCCAACCCTGATGGTTATGTTTACACACACACCGATGAAAGTCACCACCACACATACTAGTGGATTCTTTAGTTTTAAGCTTTTCTGTTAATACATTATTTTCATATTTAAGACATTTTTTATTACAGCCATGACATTCTGTTTTGTCTATATAACATTGAGGTGCTTAAATATAACAAAGTGCTAAAAGTAGCTTTAAAGAACCTATACAAATGAGGTTGTTTGGTGCACAGGATCGAATGTGGCGTAAAACACGATCAAAGATCTCAGGATCTGTGTGTCATGGACTCGATCCCAACAGGAACTGGGACGCAGACTTTGGTGGACAGTAAAATACAGTTGGGGACATATGTGTACTTCTAAAATCCTTTCTTTTTTGCTACTATAATAGCAAGACACCATGACAAAAGATAAAATATATTGAATAGAAATGTTTAATTACTTTGTAGAAAAGTATAGGATTTTGAACATTTCAAGCATGCAATCATATATTACATGTCATTTTTAAATCTTGTGCACAATGCACTAATGGGAAGCAGCACTGAATATCAAAAGCTCACTCAAATTTAACAAATTTACAGATTTTAATCCTTAATAGCAAGTTAGTTGTTTTATTGCCATGTTCATAAAAATCCTTGTGTTCAGGTCCTGGTGCCAGTCAGAGCCCCTGCTCTGAGTCCTACCATGGACCTTCAGCCCACTCTGAGGTGGAGGTGAAGAACGTGGTGAACTTGATCAAAAGCCATGGTAACTTCAAGTCCTTCACTCCATCCACGCCTACTCCCAGCTGCTCATGTACCCTTATGGCTACTCCTGCCTAAGTGTGCCCCACCAGACTGAGCTGGTAATGGAAGAAAATGGACTATGCTACTAGATGAAAATGTAGAAAACTACACCTGTTTCGCACACAAGCCTTTGATGATGTTTTGCCTTTGTGCAGGACTCTGTTGCCGGAGCAGCAGCACAGAAACTGACTTCCGTCTACGGTAAGGCGTACAAGGTCAGAAGCACCTGCAAAATCATCTGTGATTCAGCAGATTTTAAACCAAACTGTAGAGACATCCACATGTTAAAAGCTCTTCCTGTCCTCTCAGATCAGGCCAGGGGCGGGAGCATTGACTGCTCCTACAACATGGGCATCAAATACTCTTACGCCTTTGAGCTGAGGGACACTGGTGGTCGGTATGGTTTCTCCCTACCAGCTGATCAGATCATTCCCACTGCCTCAGAGACTTGGCAGGCCCTGAAGCATATCATGGCGTACGTCCGTGACCACCCGTACTGATGGCCATTTAATCTGGCTGAAGGGTTTCCACTCAAGTCAGTTTGTTCAGTTTTCTGAACATTCTGAGACCAATAAAGCCACTAAAAGCTGTTTCAACACCTGTTTTGGTTTTCTGTGGTAAATAAATGTTTTCTAAACATATGTGAGTGTTTGTGGTTAAGATAGGATCTTTTGTACATCAGTTTAAGTGAGAGCTGGCCCAATGAAATCCTGAAACCTTCCTCAAATTAGACATGACCTGTGTTTGATGTAGCGCCTTGGGTTTTACAACTCCTATGTGCAAAACAACAGAAACCTGTCCTTCTCACTCACACACACACACACACACACACACACACACACACACACACACACACACACACACACACACTCACACACACACACACACACACACACACACACACACACTAGTGGTGACAAGCTAATTTGCCACAGCTGCCCAGGTACACACTAATAGAAGCAAAGGCTGCTAAACACTGGTGCAACAGTCTCTCCGACCACCAGCAGCAGGCAAAGAGGGTTAACCATCTTGCTCAAGGACACAATAACTGTGACAGACTGAGTGGGGCTTGAACCTGAAACCTTTTGGTTATGGGGCAGGCACTTCTGCCACTCTTCTTCTGCCACTATTCTCTTAAAAGGGTTGGGTTACTTTGCTAACCCAAATACAGGGTTGAGGTTGAAAAGCTTTAGGTTAGGTCAGTTTAACCCACCATTGGGCCAAACTCAACTCAACACAAGTTTATTTATAAATTGCGCCTTACAGGCAAAAAGATGCCACCAAGGCGCTACACAGATCAAGTAAAAACATAAAACATTAAATCCAGAAGATAAAAACATTGTATCACAAGATACAGATAAAAATACAGACTTTGTATACACTAATAATAATAATAGGAAGAAGAAGAAGCTACAAGATATGTAAAGAAACCAAACATCCCAGAAGTGGCAATAAAAGAGCAAGAAACTGTTGCAAGTTGTCTGGCTTGTTTTAGACCTATTCTGAAGCAGAGGCATTTAGAATCAGTTATTCATGTCTTCATTACCTCCTGCTTGGACTATGCAAACTCTGTCCTCACTGGTATTCCTAGCTCAGTATTAAATCGACTGCAGGTTGTCCAGAGTGCAGCTGCTAGGTTCCTGATGAAGACAAATCAACGTAGCCACATCACCCCAGTCTTTGCACACCCTCACTGGCTCCCTGTTGCATTCCGTGTATAGTTTAAGCTGCCGACTTTTGTTTTCAAAGCATTGCACAACCAAGTACAAACACATCTGTCTGATCTGCTTAAGTCCTATGTTCCCACGTGCTCACTGAGGTCAGCAGATCACCTCCTGCTTTGCACTCCACGGATGTGTTTTAAATTGCACCATCATGCACAGTTTACGTTACCCCTTGTGTGACGGTAGCTCTTGGGTGTCTGGGGAGGAGGCAGCCCGAGTAGTGAGTTCACCGAACTTCGTGGCTACAGGATTCTCAAAGAGCCGTAGTTCCCTTTGAATTCAGATCACCGGCCAGAAGATACTACCAGGGTCTGCAATTTAGACGTTCCACGTCTGAGGTGTTATAGAGTCTGATATCACTCATAAGCGTTGCAGAGAGGCTTTGACCTTGGGGTCAAAAGAGAGGATGGTTTCAAATGCTTGCTCACTGGTTGGCCGAGCCAGGGGGCAGCTGGAGAACTAAGGAATCAGAAAGGGATTCCTGTATTTATCAACTTTTTTTGTTGATAAATTTAGATAAATAAGAATTTGACTACTTTTAAAGGTGTTACCAAAGACCTCAGAAGATCCCTCCTTCACTCAGCTACTTAGAGGTTAACTCTTAGTGTGAAGTGAAAATGTTATAACAGTTAGGTGGAGCAAAATGTTATACATTAATAATTATATTATGATGCTATTGTGTTCTGTTACGTTCACCGCTGCTTGGCTTTTGTGTTTAATAATTCTCCTCCTTGTATTGTACCTGAGGAGCTGATTTGCAGTTCCTGGCTCTCTCCATTCTACCCTGCTCCACCCTGAAGCACCAAGCTGTTGGAGATGATAATCACCTGCTGATTGAGGACTGAGGCATAAAACCCTCCTAGCTCACATCTTCAGGGAGCAGCAGACCAGAGATGTCTCTGATCTGTTGGCTCCTTGGCGTGCTTTGATTTAGTCACTTAAAGTCACCTTTTGTGTAACAACTTTGTGTAATTCTGTGCTGGGGAAGCTCAGTACTTGGCAATCTCTTTTAGCCGCTTCTTCTTTTTTTTTTTTTTTTTTTTTTTTGCAGGGACAGCCCTACTCTCGAATCTTTTATAAGTAAGATTCATCGCAGGTGGTGGAATCCCCACTGTGATGATCTTCCTGTATTTTGTATTAATTTGGCTAATTAGAGGTTAAATAATTGTTGCTATGTTTTGTTGCCGCTGATCACATTTTCAGTGTTCTTTGTATTTTGGGCCCTGTTCTGTTAAATAAAACCTTTGAATTACATTCTGAACTAGAGAATAGCCTTTTTTTGTTGCCCCAGGTTTCCTAGACGACAAGGTGTAACATGTTCATGCTGATAGATTAAATTACTAGGATCAACAACTACTGATCAGGTGTGTTTTAAGATCTGAAATGAATCATTACAGGAGAAATATTCATTTTAACCCACAATGTCATGTATAGAGCTCCGGACCCCACGTGACTCTCAGTTAGTAGACTCCATATTGGCAGGTAAAAGAAGCTAAACAAACACGGGTCGTAACCGTGAACGGGATCAGCTTGGATTTTACTTCGTCGGAGTTTACTTCACACTTTAAAACCGAAGAAATCGTTTTATATAGTCAGAAATTAAATAGACTAAACATCTCCGATACTTACCGTGAACTTGGGATACTTTTTTAAAACGCCAGAAGCTGTCGGAGCGGACTTCTTACTGGACCTGGCTGGGGAACCCCTTGGGATTTACCCAGAGGAGCTGGCTCCGGCGGCTGGGGAGAGGGAAGTCTGGGCCTCTCGACGCTACTGCCCCCGCAACCCGACTCCAGATAAGCGGATGAAAATGGATGGATGGATGGACAAATAACAGATTTACATGTAAGTAGTTTAAATAGAGTGCTGTGCTGTTTGAATGTATAAACTGAACGCCAAGAGAAATCACTAGTCTGATTTTTTTTTTCCGTGAATAAAATAAGTATGCCAGGCAGGAACGTCTCATGATCTGTCTGAGATCTGTCTCTGTGAGACAGATAATAGCAATTCAAAGTGCTTTTTATGTGTGATCTGACAAGTGATCAACCATTGCTTAAAAATTAAATACAGCTTAGCCGGTTAATTGCTGTGATCATAAAACATGTAAACGGCAGCACGCAGAAATCACAAGGCAACGTTTTACGTGATGTTTACTTGTTGCTATGAGTAATAAGACAGAAAAAGCCACGCCAAAATAAGTTTAGGAAGCCCACTAAGAATCGTAATAAAAGCATTTAAAATAAATACCGTACACAGTTGAGGAAACGTTGGTTTAAGTTCCTGATATGAAGTGGTCGCTGCATAAGCGAAAACCTTTACTCTCGGGGTCCCACAGTTTCATTTAAGCCCGGTTACTAGCGCATTTTATTACAATGATCCAACGTTTGCGGCGCTCCGGATCTTGGGAATCCTGTAGATGGCTCATTCCTTATGTCGTCCGTGTCTGTTCTGCATCCTGGGGCACAACAGGATTCTACCATATTTCCCGTTTGATCGAGTTTTCTGACAATAACAAATAGTCCAGGTGCCGGCTTCTACCTGCCAATATGGCGCCGTTTCGATTTGAACTGTTGCATGCCGGGAAACGTGACGTCAACTCCCGGAGCTCTATTGGACACATTATTCTAACACTTTGGATTTAAACGTATTGTCCATTCTACAAGAGATGATTATATGACACTTATGAAATTATAAAGTTGTAAAGTAATTTATGACTAGAAAGATAAACTTTATTGAGAAAGCAACGGTCTTGCCTTCTGCATGAGACCTTGAGTTTCCAGCTAAGATACGGGAGCTAGGAGAAGGACTTATTATGGCTCCTTTATTCAGTAACAAGGTCGTTGAGCAGTGCTTATCTGGTTTGGAGACCAGACACATATGATGTGGCCCTGGATAGTTGAACCAGTTTGTGCTTGCAAGCTAAAAGTTAACTTCTGGTGGTTTTTGATGAAATACTTGGCCTTTTGGTATGCTACATATCCCCCCCATCCAAGGGCATGGGGTCAAGTAAAGAAGACCATGAGGCATTGCACAACATTAGCAACCTTGAGGACTCAGCAGAGGAAGACAGAGTTAATTTTGAGGCACCAAAAGCAGCAGGAGTGAGGAAAACCAAACCCTCACAGAGCAGAGCAGTCAATATTTATCCCAATCAGCAAATTGTAATCCCGCTTTACGAAATCCACAGGCAGGGACCACGATGAGAAGTAAGCCAGAGCCATGAGGAGAAGTGAGCTATACCATAGCAAACCACAGCGAAACCAGAAGACCAGAATCCCCAGAGAGCCTAAGGGGCCATCGACCACCAAGACCAGGGGTGTCAAACTCAAATTCACACTGGGCCGAAATGAAAATCTGGGACGAACTTAATATTTTTTGAAAAAGTGACGATAAATTTGCACATTTTCTTTATCAACATAAATGCAATTTTGAACCTTTTAATTTAGAAACAAACTTATTTTTGCATTAACACTGAATGTGGAATAACCAAATTATACACGAGCAAGTCAGTTTTAAATAAAACGCATCAGTGGAATTCATTACTTGTGGTATATTCAGCATTTTTAAAATCGATTCAGGATTTATGTTTTCTTGTTGTTTATTCATTTTTCTTAATTTTTATTCTCCTTTTTCCTCCTGTAATAAGTGTCATCACTGCTGTGACATCTAGCTTTCTATTTTCTATTCTATTCATCTATCTGCAGCCTTTCCACTTCCTGTTTCTGTAGGTTAAATCTTTTCTCACGGGCCAACTACAAAATAAAAATATAATTTTATCTTAAATGAAAATGCAACATCTCACCTGTTAACTTTCATGTTTTGGAGCAGAAAAAGAGCATAAAACCAACATATTTAAAGCTCAGTTTGCTCCACTGGTTTACTGTGATGCTCACCTGTTCCAGCCAGATACCTGCATCATGGGGTTGATCTGAGCTGAGGAGGAGACTCCTGTTGTTTTGTTCATCTTCATCATAATAATGACAACATTAGATGACAACAGGTGCTCACATAGGTTTGTGCTGCTGAACATGCCTGAGCAGCTTGACCATGTTGTTGTGTGTCAGGGAGGAAAAATAACAAAGACAGCAGCCACAGAGTCATGCTGATTTGAGCGTGTCGCTGCTCGCTGGAGTGATATCAGCTCTGTCTGGAAGTTAGTTGGGAAAAATTTCTCTTTCAGTCGTGAACACATTACTGAGCAGTTAAAATCTTCGTTTCTGGGCTTCAACGTCGGAAAATAGCTGAGTAAACTCGGCGCTGGGTGAGAGGAGTGTTTAGTTTGTCCGAAACAGCGGAGCTGCACACCGGCAGCAGATGCTGGAAAAAACACAAAGGAGGGGGCGCTTCTGCTCCGCGCTAACGCTGCAATGCATCATGGGAGTTGTAATGTCCAGCAATGGTCAGTTTTTAGGTACAGTTTGTCACTTCAACATCTGGTGAAAATGGAGACACGAACCTGCATGTGTTCCCTTTAAATCGGCCTGCCTTCATCCCATCAGCTGGAGCTCAGAGCCTCTCTGCAGCTCTGAACACATGATAATGAATCGTCAACAATGATGTTCACTCCTCAAGGTCCAAGCTCCCGTTATCGTCCTACAGGATTCTTCATGCCTCTGAATAAGGAACATTTGCAGCTCAGATTAGCTGCTAAATCAAAGAATGATTTCTTAAAGGGGCATTATGGAAGTTTGACAGCCAAAACATGTGTAGAAATAATAAATGTCTTCTTCATACATTCTCCTGCAATGCCCTGGTCCTGTAGAATGAGCCCTGGCATTTTTACTGTGATTGCCTGTTTTTCTGTAAAATCACAGAAAAAGAGAGATGCTCGGGTCGAGCAGGCTGCTTCATGTGCGTTCACGCTCAGGCATAGCCCTCCGAACCGTTCTTTGAACGTTGTTTCAAGGATATAAATGTTACAGATACAGAGAATGTCATTGGCAGTTTAGCTTGCCTAGTAAGACATCAGACTTTCATGCAGAGGATCCGGGTCCAATTCTGTATGTGAACATAGTTTATTTAGAGTTTCTTTTTTACATTAATGGTATATTTTTTACAGTAAGATGCCTACATTTTTATTTGAGACTCGCCGAACGGTAGATAAAAAAGATGTGGGTTCAACTTTCATTTTGGAACAATTTTTCAAGCAAGGGAAGGGAATGATCTGAGCATGCAGGAGGACTGACCCATCATAAACCTTTGTCGGCTGTGCTGAAGAGAAAGGTACAGAACGAAATGATTTAATTAATTTGCTGCACGTTCTCCTGTCCTCTGTCCTCCGGGCCGCTCACACACACACACACACACACACGGGACTGTCTCAGCTGTTATTTTCATTAAGAGGTGTGCATGTATAGCATGCGCGCCTCGTGTACGAGTCTACTATTGAAGCTGCCGTTACGCTTTTGGCCTGAGGGGGCAATCGCGAGCATAAAAATTCAAAACTCCGTAAAGTCCCTTTAAATTAAATACGAACTTTTAAAACGTATAAGTTAGGTAATCATTAAATAAACGTTTGTTTATTGCTACTTATAATAATTATAGTATAATGAAATGCTTTCATTAATCTGTGATTGAAGTTTGAAATGAATGTTATGTTATGATTACATTGATTGATATATGTTTCAGCATGTTGATATGACAAGGTCATCACCATTTGCACTCACACAAGGAAAAGTAAAGTTAAGTCAAACGCGTGACATCACTGTAAACCCCAATAAGTTCAGTGAACTCAAAATTTTTGAGGAAACTGATTACATAATAATTTTTTAGTTAACTTACTTAAAAACAATAAGTTCAACATAACTTAAAAAATTTAACTACATCCAACCTATAACTTAGTACCTAAGTAACTTACAAAGTTTAATTTCACTAAACTTCAATTTTTTATTGTACTTTAACTTTATTACATTGTTTTACTAACTTAAATATTATAACTTATATGAACTTTAAATGGACCTATTAAACCCTAAGCTAAGTCTAACAACCCTTCATTGACAGGGTCTTTCTTAAAAGAAAAAAATGAGACAGCATTGCAATTGCAAGTTTATTTCAAACCACCTGCACAAAATCTTACATGCTTCTGCATTTGAACAGGTTTTAAATGCTTAACAAAATAGTGCTTCAATTTGGGTAAAACAAAAACAAACAAAAAAATATATATCTATATATATACATATACTATTTATGTTAAAGTTTTACAAGCAAAAACCTCAAAAATATAATAAGTGTTTAAAAAATGTCATATAACTTTGTAAGACAAAAGGTGTTTCAAAGTGTGTTAGTTTTATATCAGCATCAGGCTGAGATTATATATATATATATATATATATATATATATATATATATATATATATATATATATATATATATATATATAAGCCTGATGCTGATATGAAACTTTATAAGACTTTTTAAAAAACATTTTACCAAAATAGAATAAACTATTTTTTTCCCTTATAAAACGTTAACATAAATAGTATTTGTATAACAGAAAACATTGTACATTCATTTTTAACAATTGTTCACTTTTAAAATATTGACAAATAGAATTTAGGGAACATTTAAAACAACAAAAAAATAATGTGCAAAGAGCATTTTCTTACATATTGCTGCATTTGAACATGTTTTAAATGCATTACAAGATAGTGCTTCAATTTGGGGGAAAAAACAAACAAGTAAATACAAAAATATATATCTATATATGTACATATACTATTTATGTTAACGTTTTATAAGTGAAAACCTAAAAAAATATAGTAAAGGTTTAAAAAGTGCCTAAAGACATCTTTAAAAACATTTTACCAAAATACAATAAACTATTTTGTATGGTTTTCACTTATAAAACGTTAACATAAATAGTATTCGTATAACAGAAAACTTTTTACTTTAGTTTTTACCAATTGTTCCCTTTTGAAATATTGACAAATAGAATTTAGGGAACATTTAAAACAACAAAAAATAATGATAGAGCATTTTCTTACATATTTTCGTTACAGGACAAAGTTAAATAGAATATTAAACAGGGGCGTATCTAGGGGCATATTTGTGAAGGTCTCCACAAATGTAAGGCTGTCGGGAACAGATAGCAGCAGATCTCCATAAACTTACAGAATTTTGTATGAAACTTTACTAAAGTTTAGTAAAACTTCTAATGCAAGGTATCAACAACCTTAGAACAGTTTCACATTTATCAACATTAACATGTCTATGTGTAGTGCCAGCATCTACACAAGTTACTCTGGCAGTAACAGATCATTTTTGAGGCGAAGAAAACATGGTTTCAACTGTTTTCTGTCCTCAAGGCCCATCAGTAGTTTCTGGACGAATGTAAATGTGTGAACAAGGTTTTTTGGATAGTCTAGATGCAAGACATAAAACAATCCAAACAACAACACAAATGCATCAGCCCACTTGGCAATGTCGCCTACCACAAGCTCGTCCTCCACTACAACTGCTGCACTGACCGGACTGAAGTGCATTGGGGTTGTACTGTTCTCGTTTACAATGGTCAGAATACCAACAGTGGTGTTGCTGATGTCTGGCTCGGGAGATTCTTCAATCTACAAGGGACAAAAGCAGTTTTGCATTCAAGACAGAGATTTAATTGTTACAAGGCAAAAAAGGATTATTATTCAAACTTCCAAGATGGAAGGAACAGTATTAGTATATGTACATTTGTTGGCAATTTACACAAAAAGTATTACAGGGTATATACAGCAATCCCTAAGTAAAATTTACTACTTTTTAATACCTTTTTTTACTACCTTCAGAATATTTTTAAAACCATCACAACACTAAATTGCAAGTGTTAATCAGCGACCTATTTACACATATTTTAACATATATAACATACAAAAAGAATAGACTTAGAGACTCACTGATGTTGACGACGTATTGCACATATTTATTTTACTTAGAAAATAAGCCAGGCACTTCTGTTCAGCGGTTCAGACAGTTGACTACGAGGCCTGAAATGATGCAGAACGACCACTGAATATGACGTCATCATTATGTGACCGGATATGCTAAAGTAGGGCTGCTCGATTAAGGTAAAAACAATAATCACGATTATTGTGACTGAAATTGAGATCTCGATTATTTAAGATGATTTTTCAATTAATGTAGATATTTTATTTTATTTTTTTATTCAGTCATAAAATTGCTCAGGGCTAGAGCTGTGGCGACGCATCGATGACGTCGACGGCTCGATTCTAAAAATTCGTCGACGTCAGATCCGGTAGTCAACGCACCGCGCCCACTTGTTGCATCCCCAGGAGTTTGTAAATGGAGGAGGAATCTGCCTGTTTTTCCTCTAGTTCGCCCTCTTCTCCACCTTCACTAACATCTCCGCCAAATACCGAAGACCCGGAACAATGTCCGTCCACTACTAGATTATTTTCCTGTTTTGCCCGCCTTCGTCTCCTGGCAACGGACAACAACTTCCGGGGTCAGATGTGCTGCTTCGTCTCTACCGCAGATGTAGAAAATCACCGGGAGCGTTTCTCCCTTCATTAAGGAGCTTCTTTCAGACATTAGGAGAGCTGTTTTGGTGGTAGCAGTCTCTCCTCCGTGCTGGTCTGTTTGCTGCTGGGTGTTTTTGGTTTATTTAAACTTGGTAACTTGAATTTAACGTTGGTAAAAGCTACTGTTAGCATTTTCGCTAACAGCTTCTTGCGTTTGGATAAGCGGTTACGTTTTGGTTTAGAGTTCATCTTTTTTGTAGTGCAGATCTCCCTTTTATTACATTTAGAGTGTTGTGGGTTTTCGGTTTAGTTTAAAATATCACCTCGAGTTTGGTTTAGAGTTTGGACCTTTGGAGATCCTTATTTTGGTCCAGAACCCTGTAATCGTTGCCCAGTGGGACATCCCAGGTTATTTGTACTTTTGTTTTAATTCCCCACAGGCAGAATTAGTTTTATTATTCCCAACCTGTGGATGGAAATATTTATGTTTTTTTGTAGTTGTAAATAAACCTGATCATCATTTTAACTTTTAAATCCCGTTATTGTCCCTTCCTTTTTGCACACAAGCCAAACTCCCCAGGAAGGATCGTAACACCACTCGCCTCACGCTCATAAGTGACCAAATCAAAGCAGCATGGAGACACTCCGTCTCCAACCACCTCGCAGCCTGCACTCCCAAGTTCTACAGTCACCAGAACATAACCAACCACAACACAATAAATGCAGTGTTATACAAAATGGAAGGCCTGTAGTGTTTATTCTCTTACAGTAACAATTTATCCATTTTTTGGAAGAATTTATTTGAGATTTTTTGGTTTTTTATTAATTGTGCAATAGAAAAATAATCGCTAGATTAATCATCTAAATAGTCATTAGAATAGTTGACTATTCGATAAAATAATCGTCAGAATAATCATTTTAAAAATACTTGTTTACCCCCAGCCCTACTCAGGGCACAATCAGGGCAAAAATAAACAAGAAACAAGATGATCACTAAAATAACTCCTGATTCCCAGTATAAAAAGACCAATATACTTATAGCTCATAGTTTATGACCCAAGGGCTATAGACCTTGGTTTAACTCATTTAAGTCTAACCAGTACAGACCCAAATACCAATATCTTGCAAATACTGACAACAAGAATTATACAGTGGCATTTATAACAAATAAATGCAAATAAATTGATGTTCACAAAATGTTGCATAACATTTATTTAGTCGTCAAGGTGCTGTAGGAGCATGCACTAGCACCGTGTCCTCAGAGAGATTAGTTATCAGCGTGAGGAACTTATTTCTACCTTATTTATAAACTATTTATTTACAGGTCCATCAGTTAATGTAATAATTGTCTCAACCACAGCTGCACCCCCCACCCCCCACCCCGGTCTCACAGCAATCAGGGGCAAGCTGCACGTGTGTTTAGCACGCAGCACGCGCACATTTAGCCGTTTGTAGCGGCTCAGGAGCCCGCAGGTACGGTGTGTGTGTCATTCACTCTGGTTAATCCAACAGAGAGCCGGCTCTGAGAGCTGTTTCTGTAGCGACCGACACATCACTACATCATTCCCTTTCCTAATGTCCAGAAGAACGGTCGGGAGCGCAGGCGGAGTGTTTAGCTAACCTGCAGGAAATGTCAACTACAGTTATCCAGAAAGTAGCTAAGGGTTACCAGAGATATTTATGAGGTGTTCGCTAGGTACTTTTAAGATTTAAAAAGTCAAGAAGGGGGTCTGAAAAGCTGTTGGAAATAGCGTCAAAGTCGCTAAGTTGGCAACACTGTGGGAGGAGCGCTTCATTTGTAACTCAGGGCAGCGCAAGCGGGAGGAGCAAATAATCGGCTTGTTTTGTTTTTATAATCGTTCAAAACATTTCATTCGGAATATATTTCTATGTTGATGTTCATAATACGACACCTGATAGTCTGAAAAAAATAATACCTAATTTGGAAAAAATAATACCTCTGAGACCAAATTTAACGCTTTTAATGGCCTTAAATTTGACTATTTTTATTTATCACTTTTTAATACTTTTTAAAACCCCGTGGACACCCTGTATTACACGTAATTGGATGACATTTTCAGGAAAGGTTAGTAATGACACACAGAAGTAATGTTAATATTTTTGGCCTTATCTGGCTAACTATCTGGATTCAGAGATCTTTTAAAGTTGTTACAACTTAAGTCCGGCAAAGTGCAGTTCACTATTCATTGGCAAAATGATGCACTTAAGTATGCAGTTTTTAGAGACAATTTGCTCTGCTGCATAATATTGCTTTGGCAATATTATGCTTTGGCTTTGCTTATTGTCAGCACATCTGGATTATTGACCAGCACAGTGTTGCTCTTAATTTTGTAAACACTGGAGCCCTCATGCTGCTTTTTTAAATACACAAGCTTCAGTTTCAGATTTGCATACAATGAAACCTAAACAGTACCCTATTCAGCTTATTATGTCACATTTATTGAAACACAGTAGCATCTGTGATCCAATATTTAACTGTTACTTTGTATTAATCACATCATCCATAAATACCTACATTCCAAACTTTGAAGAATTGTGGCTCCTCCTCTCGTAGGTATATTGGAAGTCCGTGCAGGACAAGAGTACGTCTGATATCAGCATCCTGTTCTTGCTGCACAGAGAAGATGCAAAAAAAAAAAAAAAATTATAAAAATAAATTTCACAAGTGTACATACTTGGAAGTATCTTGTACATAGCCAAACAATGGTAGTTATGCCTTACAACTGCACTTTACCTGCTTATCATACAGCTTCAGCATGCCGCTCAGAGCCTCTGATGTCTTGCCAGTTCGTGCCGCTTTCTGTCTCAACAAGATCAGCAGTCGTGGTGTCAGGTTGTCCAGTTCAGAATAAAACTGGTTTCGCAAGTTGACATTTGTGATGCGATGAAACTCTGCACAAATCTACAAAATAGTAGAAGAAAAAATTAAGACTTCTGAAAATTCTACCCAAACAACAAAAAAGAAAACATTTAACCTGTGAATCAATGCGAAGAGCAGGCCATTTCTGTAGGAACTCGCCGATCATTAGGTCTCCCTTGACAATCTCAAGTCGACGAAGTGCAAAGGTCATCTGCATGAGCTTGTCAATCATCACAAGGTTTTTTTCACTTCTCTCGACTTCTTGCATGATTTGGAGCCTAACATTTTCAAGGCTGGTAGCATCTTGACCTTTAGGGAAATTTGGCAGTTAGTTCACCTCGGCACGCTTGGCTTTTTTTTACATTCTGGTGTGGGTGCTCTTTGTCAGGATTGTTGAGGCTTCTTCTGCCTGAATTTACAGCAACTTCCAGGCATCCGGCTTTGGCTAGCTTACTACGGAAATTCCCCATTTTGTACTGCAAGCTCCACTTCCATCCATACCATCCACTTTCACTACTCTTCTCTTTGAGACACGGATGAGCCGTCACAAGAGCTTCTGCTGCCATGGCTATGTTTTTTTCAGTTGGATAAGGCTTAAAATGCATGATTGCTGTGGCCATGCTTTCCAGGATGCTGCTTTTTTGGGATCTTGTCAAAGTGATTAAGCAGCATTGGCTTCTTGAAGAAGATGCTCCACTTCATAGGAAAAGGTGGGGACACTGAAGTTGTCTGGCCAGGTTTTCAGTCGGTTGCTAATGGGTGCATGAGGAAGGATTTCAGTGTCGGTGCTTTGTAATGAGACATTGTCAACTTCAGATCTGACCACCTGGAGTGTCCCCTTTTCAGGTAAATCTTCAATGTCAACCAGACAACAGAGCTGACCATCGAAATCTGGATCTTCATAGTGTAGAGTGAACTCATAGTCAAGCCTTGGCCTGCATTTTTCTTGCAGTGTTTGGATTAGATCCTCTACTGAATTCGGGCGCTCAGTTAGGGTCAACTTCACAGCTACCTCTGGAGCAATAAAAACTCTAAGCATGAACTTTGTGGGAGCTGCCATGTCTGAATAATAGAAAAAAAAGAAACAAAAGGGTTACATGACCTTACTAATAATTCACAGTAACATCACTTTCTAACAGGAAGTACAAAGCGTTTCGGTGATAACAGCAGTTTGCCACTGACATTGTAAGCACAGAGTGGCAAGTTATCATTAAGCTCCAAAATGCTATGAACAGCAATATTTCCCGGTAACAATTCAAATGATCTCAAATGTTCCAAGTAAAAAGATTTGTAATCATTGCAAAGAAAAGTTACATTGTTGTTAACAATGAGGATGTTTTCAACTTTGCTAAACAGAGGGAGTCCTCCTTCCTGACCTACTGAAACAAACATCCCAACTTCGTACAAGGTGCCATCAATGGACATCCTTGATGTTGCATAAATGATGTTTGAGTCAGTTTTTTGTTTTATGTCTTGTTTTGCAACATCTGGTAGTTGTGAAACAAGAACAGAAGAAACACTTGATGTCTGTTGATGTGGCTTTAAAAAGCCTTGTGCGCTAAGGTGGTAAGCAATCATGTACTGATGCCTTGTTGCGAGTGTTTTGAGAACATTCTTGAAATTTTGTGCATCATGTACCACCCGTTTGAAAAAGCGATGTTTTCCCTCAAATCTCATAGTCCACAAATGGACAAGAGGCCCGAAGCACCGTATGAGATGGGGGTAGTGTTCGATGAAGTGGTGTTTGGGAAGCAGAGAGAAATCAGGGAAAACTTCCTGCAACATCTGTCTGTGATCCAGTATCTTGCTTTGCAAATACTGAATGGTCTCCTCGTCAAATATCGGACACAAAACAAGCTCCACAATCTCCTTTAAATCCATTAATATTGTCCACGCACCATCACCCTCAGGAACTGTGTCACCAATAATCAATGGGAGTAATCTCAGTAATGTGCTATTTTCATGCCCATTGCCACCTATGTTTTTCTTGTTGGCAAAGGTTTTGGAAATGGGCTTTGGTTTGTCTGTGGCATCTGTGCCCTTGTATGAAAATGACTCGATTTTTTGGTTCAAAGAATCCAGAGAGAAATACTTGAGCCTTATCATCCGATCTATACATAGGGCCAATTCGACTGGCACTATGCCCTCTAACAGATCATGCAGAGCATCAGGTGGGAAGCCAGTGGTTGGATGAAAATACTGAAGAGTGTTTCTCAAAATGCAGTCCCCTTTAACACCACACTGACTGGAAAGTTTCCCCTGCACCACATCCTGTACATCTCTGTCATGAGTGAGTTTTGACCTGGGACTAAATTCACCTTCGAAAACATCAAGAGACTGAATTTGGTTGTGTGTTGCTTTGCAGAATCTGCACACATAGCCTGCTCTGAAACACTGGACAAAGCCAGCTAATGAATGAGCAGCCAGATTATCAGCCACAACACAGAAAATGGTCCCACGGACAGTACAGCCAAGATGCTCAATATACAGACCATCTTTTTCGAGAATACACAGGTCTTTAAATAAGGGACCGAGAGTGTTTTGATAGCCATACTTCTGAACATCTGTCACTTTACAAAGGGCAGCTAGTTGGATTACATGGAGTGCTGATCGGTATTTTTGAGGAAGGTCTGCAAACACCCAATACACTGAGCATAGCTTGTGTATTTTTCTAGAAGTGCCAAGAGGATTTGCAATTTCCAGGTCATCAAGATACAAAATCAGTGGCAATGTCAACTCTGAAGAAGACAACAAATCATTTTCCTGGTAATACAAGCCATCTTTATGGCTCTTGAAATGTCCTTTTTCAGAATTCTTTGTTTCCTTAATCAGGTCAATGATATCAGTGTGTTTAAAAATTTCTTGAATCATCTCAAGTATTGGCACATATACTGTAGTATGTCCTGTGTCCAACACATATTGCACTGGCATGACAACAGGATAATGCCTCTCAATATATGTTTTTCTTCGTTTTGCAGATGATAAATCTTGGCCCTTTCCTGTTGCCCTGATATCTTGACAAGCTCTCTCAGAGACATGGAGAATTGACTGCATTTTGAGAAACAAAGAGGCCAATTTTTGGTGCAACTGGGCTTCCCAAAAACTGGTCTCACAGATCCCATCTTCAGAATGAGAGGGCACATCTTCAGACAGCTCTTCAGGTTGACCTAAACTATGCTCTTCATCAAAATCAGCAGTTGCTGGAGCTGCCACTTTCTCTGTAGACACAACATTATCACTAAAATCTAAAGCACTGCCATGTGTCCTACTCTTATGAGCATTAAAGGATGAATAAACATTTGTGGTATAACTACAGTTCTTAAATGGACATGGAACTGTTTCATGGTTTTTTAAGTGTCCTCTTAAATGACTAAACAACGTTTCCTCTGAAAAAGGCTGATTGAATTTGCACACTGAACAGGTAAACAGTGACACGCCTCCTTGTACCTCAATACCTGCAGAACCTTTGTGTTGGTGAGACCGTGACAGATGAATTTTCAAAGCATTAAAAGATGCAAATGTACAAATGCACGCTTCAAAAACACATGGCAGTGGTGTTACTTTGGAGAAATAGCTATGTTTTAACCGGTAGTGTTCCAATAATTTTCTCCGAGTATCTGAGGAGTGGACACACAACTTGCATTTCCATTTCATTTCACTTTAGAAACCCTTCAACTAGCCTTACTAGCCTCAAAATCAATCCAGAAAGTCCTTAATGAATCAACCTCTCCTCGTAGAAAGGTCCCTGGTGTTTGTTCCTGTAACACATTTAATAAGTAGTATTAGTCTTACACATTGATTTCCAAAATGAATACAAGTTACCTATAGAGAGGCTGAGGGTTCTTGATGAACGAATTCTTTAGGTTTAAGCAGAAATAGGAGATTAAATTACATTAATTATACTCACTTTAGAAACCTGTGGCCTCACAAGCCTCTGAATCACCTCGAAAAGGCTTCAATGAATCTACTCCTTCTCCTGGAATGCTCCCTGGTGTGTGCTCCTGTAATAAATTACATAAGTGATATTAGTCAAATACATTGAATACATTTTGCTCATTCTGTAAATATGTCATAGAAGTTACTAATAGAGAAACAGGCAGTTCCTGATGAAGTCCTGATTCTTTAGAATCCCACGTCTTAACAAAAAAACTGATTAAATTATACTAAAACCAAGCATTCAGTTCTAACTACAACTACTACTGCTGTTTCTCCTCGTCAAAATATCTTTAAATGTTATCACAGAAAGATGAGAACCTCCATATGGTTTACTCTAGCCTTCCCAAATTTAGCCTTTTAGATACGTGAGAAAATTCCCTGTAAATTTGCAATTTAAGAATTAAAATAATTACAAGCAAATATGTCCCTTTTGGCATGTAACCATACATTTTTACAGATTTTTAAACTTGTGCTTATAAAGTGTTTTAGAGAATATGGTTTAATAATAGAAAAAACAGTGGATATGAAACAGGGATTTTTTTACTACTGGTTACACACTATGAACAATAAATCGCAACCATCGGCCAAATACTATTGTTAGTACTAACTAACTACTATGGTACTACAATGGTACATTTCTCTGTAAACATGAGCCTAATTCTGAATACTATTTGATGTAAACACCACATTAAAATAATTAGAACAATCTTATTTGTATTTTTTATGCATTGAAATCAACAGCGCTAAACGTACATGAATGTTTACTTGGCCTGCTACTAAGGCTGCTTGATTATGGCTAAACAAGATAATCACGATTACTTAGATTTGAGATTTAGATAATTTAACATGATTTTTAATTACCGTTAATGAACTTTGTTGAACATTAACAGTTGCTGTTAAACATAATTTTTAGCCTTTTTTCTGTTTTAAAAAAGAGAACCATCTTTAATAGAAGTTACACAAAGAGGTGCTGTGTCTTAGAGCACAAGGAACAATATACTTATAAACAACAAAGATAAACAGTGCAAACCTTAATCAAATACAAAGTTAGCGTTTCACCAAAGGGATTGTTCACTGTGTTTTGAATATGTTTTTTAAATATATTTTTGGGATGAAAATCTGCCAAACGATCCAAGCAGCACATCTCCCAACAAACTGCTGGCTTCAATTCCAATTTTTTTAATGTATTTCTGAGTCCAATTAGACTGAAACATGGTGAATGTTTGTCAGAGACAGGCGCACATGGATGAAGCAGGAAATAAACATATACACAATCGCTGCTTTGTTAGAAGTCATTTATATTAGACAGAAATTATCTAATTTTCCATCTTAGCGCAGGTGGCACCGGCCAGAGATGACTTCAAGCAGCGCCGTTTATTAACTGTCTGCTCTGAGTGACTGCAGTCGGTTTACCTGACGCAACCGTGCATGGTCAGAAGTCGAACGTCTTCCGTACACAAGTAATACAATATGATTTAAATACAATTTAAAAACGTACCTCTGAGTTCGGGTAGAACTGTCTCTAATGCTCCAAGCCAACTGACTTTGACCTGTGTAACGAGAAACGCAGACACTCTCACACACACACACACACACACACACACACACACACACACACACACACACACACACACACACACAGACGTTACTACGAGAAAGCTAGCTTAGCGCACATTTACACAGCAACAGTCATTAAGTTAAAAATATATAAACCATACATCGCGAAAGCTTGAACAATACTATATCACAAAACTTGTGGCGAAAATAGATAAACCATCGGTAATAATAACTCCCACCGACTGTCTCTTGTATTTTAGTTTCATCTAAGCTTGCATTAAAATAGCTAGCGGTTAGCTGATTCAAACATGTGTTGCGGCTCGGTGACGTAAAACATAACAGTGTTTCGACCGAGATTATTCAACACGGACAAAATAGTTCTATGGTAATAACATAAATGAACTCAACGGAAAAAAAATTTGAAAACCGTGGTCTATACATTTTACTTACATTTTTTCTTGGTTAGCTTCGCTTAGCCTTGGCGCCATCAAGAAAAGTTTCCCGTTTCTAATTCCCGTTCACGAACATACGCTATGACGTCATTACGTTTCTTAACTCAATAACTTTGACACAAAGGTTTCATTTACTCATAATTTTATATTATAATAAATCTAACTTAAGTAAAAGTTGAATCTGCTTTAAAGTTTTAAGTTGTTTTGACTTGGTAGCCACTTTTGATTTCTATGGTTATAAAACGTTTGAGCTCATTGTACTTTTGGGTTTACAGTGTATAGATAGTTCTTTACCCAGATCAGAGCATCCGGTATCAAGGAAGGCGTGTTTCTGAGGTTGTCTTGGTAACCATTCCTCAACATGTCAACCTCTGGTTGGCTACACAAACCATAACATGAGAACATTAAAACCGGATCACTCTGGTGATTCAGCAGTTCAGCTCAGTTCTTGAGAAAGCTTCAGAACAGCCATCTGAAGCAAAACCTGTCTAACCCATCAAAGCTTTTGACACATCGTCAAAATCTTTTTGCACCTGCGAAGCTGCAAACGGTTCCTGCAGAACAAGCTGATATTGTTTAGACTCCTTGAAGAGTCCCAGACGCGCGGTTCCATCCACCTGTCGTGACCCGAGACATCTCTGGACTGGAGAAGTCGGTGCTGTGGTCAATCTACTGGACCTGGGTGCCGGAGGTCATCCGACCTTTCTGACCTTCTGATCCACGAAGAGGGTCTCCGAGAACGGGTGAAGTAGACACACAGATAGCGTCTGACGCCTTTGATAATAATCAACTTCATAATGCAAACCAAATTCTTTTACACCCATCTCCTAGATAAGGAAGTTCTGATAACATTGCATTCACACATAGGAACCATACACTACACCATATACTACTTCTAGGTTCATCCGTCACAGTAAATATTAGTTAACATGTCATGTTTTAATTGTTTGTGAATTAAATTCTTACTTTTACAAATCTGACTCTTTTCTGAATCAAAACGAAGCGTTTACAATCCCTGAATAAACAAAGAATCCTAGAAACTTCTGATTAAACACAGTAAAGACCAAGCAGGTTGATATTCTATATTTATACAGAGTATCACAGCTTATTGGTCATAAGTAGAGGTAATATATTTTGAACTCTTAAAGCACTCAATTTACCAAACCCTACAGAGTCGTAGTCTTTGCGATAAAATCTCATTATTTAATACACATTTTGAGTGTGATTTTATAATGGATATTTTGTTAAAATAAAAAATTTTTTACTGTATTTTTAACAAAATATCCCTTATAAAAATCACACTCAAAATGTGTATAAATTAATGAGACTATATGTACATTTTACAAGTAAACAATGTTGTAATTACTGTACGTTCAGTAAAACTGTTTACATGTTCAAAGTGTTTTTTACAGAATTTTTCTGGCAACCACAGCTGCCAAAATTATTTTGTAAAAACAACGGATTTTTTTTTACAGGTGAATTACACAATGTTTTTCTGATGAATTAACCTGATCATGCTGTTATTTTATGCCTTTTTCCAGTTGTATTTACAATAATGTTTGTTTTGTTGTACATTAAATTAAATTCAATCTTACTGAAAAAGACCTTGCATAACAATAGAACTGTAAAAATGCCAGTGCAAAATTTTAAATACTTCCTGAAAATTTTATTTAAATTTGCTTACAATCTTTTTCTTTATAGTAATATTTAGTTAGGCATATGTAATAATATTTCTAAACAAACTATGATAGCCAACAAACGTTCACCACCTAAACGCAACTTTAAAGAAAAATGAGGCTTTATATAGAGAATCACTAATGAAAAAAATAAAAAACGTACACTTGAACACCTTTCAAACTTTTATTTTGAGCCTAATTTAACCAACTGTAAAAATATGTGGAAAAGTTTTAAGGTCCACAATTTTCTTAAAAAGGAAAAAAATACTCTGCTGTCATGAAGAGCTTTAACATTCTAATAATTTCAGAATGCAACTTTCTAGAACAGTAAACATACTACCACTAAAAATCAGTTTGGATTTGCTACAAAGCAAGTACAACAATGGAGAAACTGCGAACACTTGAATGCAGTGTAAATTTTTATGACGTTACTTCACAACAGTCTCATAGTTTGAAAACTTTTTTTTCTTTTTCGACTTTTGTCCAGTTGCAGACTTAACACCACTTGTGATCTGAAAGTTCTTGAATCAAGGTGATGACCTTGGGGTACACATTATTTTTCTTTTTTTTTTTCTTTTTTTTTTTACAAAGGACAAAAAAAATACTCTGCTGTCATAAAGCAAGAGCTTTAACATACCAATAATTTCAGAATGCAACTTTCTAGAACAACAAAGGTACTAGCACAAAATCAGAATGCATTTGCTATAAAGCAAAAACAAAAATAGAGAAATGGTGAACACTTGTATGCAGTCTAAACTCTTATGTGGTTACTTCTTTACAACAGTCTCAGTCATGGTTGGAAAACTCACTGACTTTAGTCCAGTTTCAGACATCACGCCACTCATGATCTGAAAGTTCTTGAATCAAGGTGAGGACTCGGGGGTTCACATGCAGTCTGGATTTGCCGGTTTCTTCCACTTTGGTGCCCTTTTCCGGGTTGATAGAAAAGAAACACCTTAAGACAAGGAAGACAAACATAAAACTACATCAAAATTTGATTCACAAAGCACTGAACTTTAGATTTAAAGACCAAGTTCACAGACAAATAGTTTTGTACCTTTTTTTGTATTATGACTGGTCACTGAGTTTAACATTAGGGGCGAACATGAAAATGGTCTACCAGTATCTCCTGCATTAGCTGTTAATGAAAAATAGACCGGGAACACTAGGATTAGAAAATTCAGACAACTGCACATCACGTTATAAAGTTAGCATTCATGGACTTGGCCATCTTGGCTCATGATGGAGAAGGCGCTCCATGGCCAGCCAAGATACATAGCATAGGAGTTGGCAACAGGAATCGGGTGAAGAAAACAGCAGAATTTGGAGACGTACATCATAATAATTGTGCTAGCTCTGCATTGTTGATGCTTTATCTCCACAAAGAACACAAGCCTTAAGGAGTTGTGTTGTGGAGTTGCTAATGCTAACTGTTAGCTTCTACTAGTCAAGATTAGGGCTGCAACAACGAATCGATAAATTCGATGAAAATCGATTACTAAAAGCGTTGGCAACGAATTGCGTCATCGATTCGTTGTGTTGCGCAACTCTTCCAAAAGCCCCCTCCCCTCCTGCCCGCCGTTGCGCGCAGACCGGTGGAGAGCCGGCAGGTGTTTGTAAGAGGAACATGGCAGAAGCAGCGAGACCCCAAAAAAGTAAAAACTTCTAAAGTTTGGGAGCATTTTCAGTTAAATCAGGCGAAGACATGCAACGTTTGTAGGTCAGACTTAGCATGGCACGGGGATACTACGGTGATGATGCAGCGTCTTAAACGCAAGCATGTCAGAATCATCAGCGAGGAAGGAGAGAGCTCGGTGTCCGGGTAAGTAAAAAACTTTTCAAAAGTGATTCACCCAAGCCCCGGATTATTACAGGCTAGACATGCCCTAAGCTCGTAAAAAAAGTCTATAAAATTGTAAGCGCGACGCTATTAGATAGGCGGGGGGGGGGGGGGACTCGCGCCGCTGCGAACCGGTTCCGCCGTCACATTCCCGCAGAAACTGGTTGATCACACCGGGGCCAGACTGCTAACATGTGGCTTTACAACCTCGGTGTCCTCACAAGCGAAAACGCTTTTAAAAGGGAGGGAGGAGTCCTAACTGTTGCTGCAGGCGTGTTGTGTGCGTGTAGTTGTATACTGGTTAATATATTTTTGGGTTCAGTTGCTTTCATGTGTCCTAATGTGAGTCTATTTGGGATCATTGGAATGATCAGCAGCATCTCTTGATGTGACTTTAAGGCAGTTGCCCAGGGCATCATCACAAGGAGGATGGCATTCATTTACTTTTGTTTTATTTGGTATTTTTCAGTCATTTTTGGAAATAGTGATTAATTCACAGCCTATGTTTAATTTCATTTAAAAATTAGTTGTTTGACATCCCCAATTATAATAAATGTCTACAGATGAGATCAAACAAAACAGATGAGAATTGCCCTTAAAGAGCAAGTCACCCCCAAATAAACTTTTTTTTGCTGATAAACTAAATAAACGAGTGTCTAATCGTGCTGCAGACACGTGTCGTCAATAATTTGGCACTTCAGTGCATCTTAGTTAAAATTTAAATATTCTGCCTAAAACTGGCAGTGTTGTGCCGTTGTCAGGTAAAAACTCTGCACTGTATTTTAATTTAAATCTGCCACCGCTATTGGCTAAGAAGTATGCTATGATGTAAACTGGTACATTATGATGTCACAATGCTGTCGTGAGCCTGAGTGTGTGTGTATTTGTTAGCGGCTCCGCCCTCTCGGTCTGCCAGGCAACAGCATGTGTTGCATTTTTCAAACATGAAGCGGGAGTGGAGTTAGACTCTGGTAGGGGTTGACTTGCTCTTTAAGCTGTTTAACTTGGACCAAGCATTTTAGGTCACAGATAGGTGTAGCTTAAGGTCTCTGTCTATACACCTTATAAGACAATTTAGGTGATGGCATGTTGGTTTTCTGCTATTGAACTGTTTTCTAATAATGTTGTGTTTAAGTGAAGGAAGGAAGGAGAAAAATAACGTTTCCCTAGCAGTTTTAAAAAATGTCCCTATGTAATCCGATTAATCGATTAATCGTGTCGAGACCCCATCCGATTAATCGATTATCCAAATAATCGTTTGTTGCAGCCCTAGTCAAGATGTGCTCAGCTCACTTGTGGATGCTAAACCAACAACAGCCGCCCTTCTTGTGAGAAAATAAAGGTTGAGTCCATGAATGTAAATTTTCAATGTGATGAAGATCTGACTGGCTTTTCTAATCTGAGCATTTTCCTTTGTCCATTTTCCATCAGAAGCAAAAGCACAAGATCGAGGTAGAACACTATTTTCACTTTCAGCCTGCATGAAAAACTCTGTGACCAATCATATTTCAAAACTAACCATAAAAAAAATGTTTCTCCGTATACCTGCTCTTCAAACTATAAGCAAAACAAAGACATGGTACATTCTTCTGCAATACCTTTTTTTTTGTAAATCACATCTAAAAACATACCTCTGCAGAAACTCCAGTGTGCACGCTAGACCTGATGGGTAATGAATGTTCAGGCAGTAGTAGCTCCCAAACATCATGCAAAATGCAGAGATGAAGCAGGAGACGTTGTTGTGCCCAACTTCTTGATCCACACTCAACATGAACCGTTTAGCATAATAGCAGGATCGCCCTAAAGAGAAAACAAGAGAAAATTAAGACTTCTGATACAACAATAATATTTATATAAAAAAATAGAGAGAATAGTACAAAGAAAAACAATGGCATAGTAAGGTTAGACAAAATAATAATAAAAAAAAAGAAAATATAAAGAAAGTGACAGAACACAAATATCAAGTACAGAGGAAAAACATAAGAACATTGTCAAAGCACAAACAAAATATGCAAGACAGATTAAAGAAAACAAGACAAAAAAACAACCAGAAAAAAATAACAACAAAATATTCTGAACTTACCACACACAATGACGGTAGGTGTCATGGGGACATTTTCCATCTGTACTTCTTTAGCCAGACATGTGTCCTCCACATTGTTTTTCATCAAACTAGTGAAGAAGTAGGAGCACCATCTCTTTAACATCTTCGGAAGAGCCGTCCAGTTCTCCTCTTATCATCTTCAGCTTTGTTTGAGCCTGGAAAAACCGTTTGTTCTTGTTCACACAAACAGTGTTCATGTAGTTTAGCAGTCGTTTTCCCTTCAGATCCATGTTCCGCATGAATGTTTCCTTCAGTCCAAGCCCAGTTAGTCCTTTGTAGTGGACATACATGCCAACTTCTTCAAATAAAAGTGGCCACTCTTTCAAGATCTCTCGGATGCTTTTCCCCTGGTTAACATCTTTGCGCTGTGTGTAGAAAGTTGCCTTCATTAATTGCTTTATTTCCTCAGGATTTGCCTCCTTTTGGGGACACATTGTCTTAAGCTTTTCCTTCTTCAGCTGCTGGCTTTCAGGGGTTTCTCCAAGTGGCAGGAATTTTACATCCCAGTTGATGCATCCATAAGTGTCTTGAACAGAAGCTCGCTGTTCTGGAGTAATTTCATCAGTGTCTGAGTTTTCAGAGCAGTGCTTTCGCTTTCTTATTTTGGGAACTGCAGATCGCTTCACGTTCTCTAGTCGATATTGCAGTTGTTTGGCCAGAGAATGATAGCCAGGGCCAATGACATCACCCTCTATGACGTCTTGTAGAGATTTTGGATATTTTGCCACCATCGTTTTTGCTACTTCTGTTGAACTTCTTTTACCTATGGAAGAACTTTTTTTCATCATTTCTGATACCACAATCCTGACCATCTTCCTCCTCATTTTTGGACTTGGCCGTTTTCCTCTCTCCAATGACTGCATCAGTTCCTCTGGAAACTTTCTCCATGGTATCTCAAAGGTATCCACCCAGTCGATTTCAGATGTCTGGTTGCTGTTGGAGTTTGATGACATGCTCAGTGGGGAAGAAGAATGCAGAGATGCAGGAGTTTCTGGTGAAGTACAAACTGGAGACCTGCTGCTTTCACGATCCTGGTCTTAGGAGCACATATAAAACACAAACACATGCAAGCTATCAGAACTGACTATGAATATCATGTTTGCAAGTGATTGTGTAATTTTTTTTTGGGCAGCTAATGTTTCTAGTAAGACATTTAACTTACATCTGGATTTCCAAGCAGCAAGGGCTTTTCTGGCTTGTACTGGCCTCAACGCTGATAGCAAGTCATCCTAGGCAATAAATTGGAAGTCGTTGTAAGTTTCCACTCCAATTGACTTTAAAGTTTCTTCGAGGATTTCTTTTGAAACCTCTGCGAGGTCAGGCAATACGTCATTGATAGCACCACGTAGAAATGTTTGTTCTGCCATTTCTGGAATAAAATAGATAAGATTTTAAGAGAGACGACGATAATTGTAATTAAACATATAGTGAACTATGTACAGATCAAAAAGCCTTCCACTTAATGTCAAATATATCATATCTGTCTCACACTTTTTAGTTATGTACATCCTTAAGTTTTTATCAACCTTTTCTTTCCCTGTTTTGCTTTGCAGTGGGATTTCCTTCATAGTACTCAAAGACTTTTCTATTTTGAAAACACACTGTGTTTCAGAGGAATAAATTGTTGTCCATTTACCTCATAAGATGTCAAAGGGTAAAAGTCAACCAAGTCATTTATGTTAAGACACAAAGTGCTTGAACTCTGTTTTGTTACTGAATAGAGGTGGTGTTCAGAATGATAGACACCTGTTTGTACATCCACAACAAAATATACTGCATTTTCATTTCGAATGAGGATTAAAACAAGTTGTCCAAACTCCATAGACTCATCATATTTTGATACTAGGAACTGCCCCTTTTTGTACAATGTTCCCTTATATTGGATTTCTGTGGAAACGCTTGTATTGTTTTCTGAAAATCCAAGGTCTTTTACTGCCTGTTTTATTGCATCGCTGTACAGGTTGGAGTAAAAAACACAACTGTCGTTGACCTGCAGCAGCCGATTGCAGCTTCTGCCCGCTGAAATGTATGCCTGAAACATCTGATGTCTTTCTGACAGTGTTAGGCATATGTTTTTGAAGTTTTTTAAATGCCTTGCACATCTCTTAAAGTAGCCATGTTTACTCTCAAAACGCATTGTCCACAACCTAATTAAAGGGCCAAATTTCAAAATTAGTGCTGGATAGTGCCGTAAGAAATGATGTTTTGGTTTAAGAGAAGTTTCAGGGAATAAAGATTTTCGAGCTTCCAAATATTCTTGGATTATTATGTCAAGATAGGCAACTTGTGGCAAAGACATTTTTTGTGCACAAACCAAATCAACAATGTCTTTGAGTTGGAGAGTTGTCTGCCAAACATCATCTTGTGGATTTTGTATCTTGTCACCAATGATCACAGGCAAAAGTCTCAACAGGTTCCAGTTTTGAACAGCCTGACCTGAAAGCCTGTTTGCCTCAGAGTTGACTGAGCATGGCTTTGTGAGAGCATCTGATCCTTTGTACTTGAACTGTTTGATTCGCCGGTTCAACATGGAATAAGTAAACCATTTCTTTGTTTTTACAAAATATTTCAAGTACAGTGCTACATCATATGACAAGATGCCCTCAAATAAGTCATGGCCTAAGCAAGGTGGAAGGCCAGGTTCACAGACATGAAAAGACTTTAGTGAGTTAAACTCAGAGTTTACCTTGACTCCTTTGACGTCTTGATTGCTTCCAGTTTGTAGATGAAGGACAGCAGAGTTGTAAGCTTCAGGGGTGCGCTGTGGACCACAAGCATTTGGATCATTTTCAAAGTCTTTACGTGTGATTTCACAGTACCTACAAAAGTACTTAGAGGTACTAAAGTTTTCAGTAAACCCGCCGATGCTGTGTGATCCCAAATTGTCACCAGCGATACAGAAGAGTGCTCCTTTGATAGTTTCTTCACCTGCAATAATGCCGTTTTCCTCTAAATCTCTTAAATCCATGAGAAGTTCTGAAAAAATCTTAGCAGTTCCAAACTGTTTTAAATCTTTCTCTGCACACAATGAAACAAGAAACATGTGATCAGTGCTTGACCGGACATGAACAGGTAAGTTAGCCACAGATAGATAAACAGCAACAACTTTGTGTTTCTTTTTAGCTGAACCAAGAGGATTTACAATTTCGAAGGCATCTTGGTACAGAATGAGTTTCAGGTAGTGATGTGTCGGTCACGAACGAACCGGCTCTAAGAGCCGGCTCTTTGAAGTGAACAACGGGAGCCGGCTCGTCATTGGGAGCCGTCCCCTCCCCTCCCCCCCCTCCCCTCTTGCTTTGGTGAAAGCTACAGGCGATTGGTCAACATGTGTAACTGCGTGTCCAGACTGTCCAAACACAGAGCAGTAGGGGTGGATCAGACTCAGACACACAGCAGAGCACATGTGGGTGGAGGGAGACGAGAGGGAATGAGGAGGAGGAAAAAGGAGAGCGAGAGAGGAGAGTCCGACGAAGACGGCGAGGAAATGAGCGCCAGCAGTCGGAAAGTGGAGATTTCTTATAGTGTTCAGTTATTAAATCCATAGAAATGATAAATGTTTGATATATTGCATTTTTTTATATTAGTAAATTATTATACATATAGTTTTGCATTATTTTGGTTATAAATGTACTCTACGCAACAGAAAATCTGAGGAGCCACTTGGGAGCCGAAAGAGCCGGCTCTTTTTGGTGAGCTGAGCCAAAAGAACCGGCTCTCTCAAAAGAGCCGGAATTCCCATCACTAGTTTCAGGCACCCAGGATTTTCAATGAAGAACTGGTTGCACTGAAAGTTTTGTCCATCACTTATGTCATAGAAAACATCAGAGTTTGTTTCACTGGACTGTTGTAACACTGAATTCTTCCATAATTCTGATTCTAAAAGTATACTTAGTGTCTGTTTAATGGGTATGTAGTAGTAAAATCTCTGAGTCAAGTTTTCATCATTCCCTAAATTAATTTGTTTTGGTTCTGTGTATTTGAACACTTTTTTGAATGTATGTGCTCTTGAATATGTTCTTCTTAGTGGTCCTCGATGACAAACAGAAAAAAGATCTGAATCTTTCACGCAGTCACATACTTTAGCAATAACATCATCTGCTAGACAAATGTCATCTTTTAAAAGTGACTTCAGTTTACTCAAAGTGTAATCCATTCCCAGCTCATGTACGTTTTGCATCTCTTCAACGATGGTCTGTATTGAGGATGCTGGTAGAAGCAGCTGTCCTTGAAGTTTTAGGTAGAAATGACACAAATTTCTGAGGAAAGCCTCACTGAAATTTGGAGACAATTCATTTGTCAGTGTGCCATTTGGGCTCTCGTCTGGCCCATCTTCTTCTGCCTCACTACAAATCTGAAATGTGCTTTCCTTGTACAAAGCATCAATATTGAGCGCAGTAAAGCCTCTATGTTTACGGGACATATGAGCTGTGAATGACGATTTAACAGTAAAATGCTTTTTACAGCCTTTTACTGGGCACGCCATGGGCCGTCCCTCCATTATATGCTCCTTTAAATGAGCAACAAGTTCTTGCACGGTTTGACTTTGGCGCCCACACAACGAAATGGCGCACTTCAAGTTTTCAACAACAGCTTTAGCTGATTCAGGATGTGAAAGCATGTTGTGAACTCGGTAAAAATGAGTTTTAAATGCTGCATATGTACAAAATGTCCGTTTGCATTCAGTGCCGAGGCATTTGAATAAACAATTAGGTTCGTTTCTGTGCACTCTGCAGTGCAACACATAGCCCCTGAGTGACTGTAAAGTTTTACTGCAAAACCTGCAGACAAGCATGTTTAAACAATGCTAGAAAACTTCAAAGTGCGACAGCTCCGGTAAAGCTAAGCTAACTAGCTTTGCTGCACGATGAAACAAAAAAGAAAAAAAATCCCCTAAAAACAAACCACTGTGCTTTTTACGTTTTAAGGAAATGAAAGATAGCTTACAGACACTTGACGTTGACGTGGTCCTGTGGGTCCTCGGGAGAAAATTTTCCGGCGGAATTCAGCCTCAGAGTCAGAGCCGTTAATTCAAACTTCGTCCAAACGGAAGTCACGCGAGAACGAGGGCAGAACGGAGAGCTGGAAGAGTGAAGTGTCCTCTGCCATGAGCTACAATAGTTACAAATCACTATAGCCTTGCACCTATATTGGCCACAGTGGGGGAAATTTTGAGATTGTAGCAAAGAACTCAGTATAATGTTCCAGTTGAGTTGGGTGTTGTCTCCGTTTGTGACGGCATGATGTACGGAAGGCGGATGCTGCCAAAAATGAAAAATAGAACAAAAACAAATAAATGAGAAAATACTATTGGAAATAATTAAACAATGGCATTATGTCATTGTTTAATTATATAAATAAATTTATGTCATTGACATAAATTTATTTATAATTAAATGTTTTGTTAGAACTTTGTTTAATCTATTTATTAGTTTATTTCTTTCTATTTTTAGTTTTAGTTCCTCATTTATTTATTTATTTCCTCATATATTCATTTATTTACTTTCAGTTTTGCAAAGACAATTGCTTCACTTTGATTTTCTCCATTATAAAATGTATCTTATATCATCGACTAAGGATAAAGTGAAACGTGATTATTTGCTATAGCCTTTTTGATAAATGTGTTTTATTTAATGCACTTGGGACAAGGAAATAAGGCAAAACTTGAATGCATGAAATCTTTATCTGTTCAAATTGTATATATTTTTACAACCACTATACGCATTCTGTTGGAGCCCCTAAAATCCTGGGTCACACAATGACTAATAATCTGTGCCATCACTGGTGGGTTTCTGAAGAGATGAACTGAAGCCCAGTGGGCCAGTCCCACCACTGCCATCTTGGCCTTGTCATCTGTCTTGTCACTCCTGGAAAATGGGGAGCCTAAGTCAAACCCATCTACTTCTGGTTACGTGGCAGAAGCGTTAAGTGTCTGCCCCCCATGATCAGACAATTGCAGGCTCAACCCACTCAGTCCATCACTGTCATTGGGTAAGGTATTTTTTTTACCTGTAAACATTATTTTCTGCTGTGTATTTGGCATTTTTAACATGGGACTCAATAGGAACTTGATATCTGGAACCAACCCCAGCAGATGAGGGGGGGAACTGCAATTGTTAAAAATGTATTTATTTTTATAAATTATTACTGAAAATGTAAAATTTCATGGTAACAGGAACACTTAGAATAGATGTTGGTAAGAAATATTGATGAAATAGAAAAAGTTTGTAAAGATGATACAGAGAATCCGAAACATTATAAATCTGGGCTTTGAAACTTGCTGGATTGTTTTGGTCTGATTTTCATGGAGAAACAAATGTGCTGCCTATAAAATTCGACATCCAGTCAATCAGCCAAACACTAAATTCATAATTTAATAATCACAATACTGTACAGAGAAATGTTGTATCTTTAAAAACAATATAAATTGTGTATTTTTTACATCATAGAAATGTAAAAAAAAAAACAATTTATGTTGTTTCTAAAGTTACAACTTTTCTCTGTACAAATTGTACAAATCTGTGTTTTTCACATGAAAATACAATAGTATTCACATTTTTTATTTTAAAAATTACAATAATTGTCTGTTCAACATTATACAACATCATGCTGTAAAATAAACACCATAACACTGTATTGTGCTCCACAAGTTTTTTTGTTGAGATTTTACAAAATTTTCCTGTTAATTCTACTGACTTTTTTTACAGTGTGAGCTGCAGATGAGTAGATGGACGCACTCCTTAATATTATTTAAAGTCTCTTTCTTGAGTATTTCTCTTACCCAAATGAACCATCTAGTGGCTGACAAGTATATCATACAAATAGTCTCTCACTCTGTTTTTTTTAAGATGGTGATTTCACCTTTCTTGTTTACCGCTTATGATAAGGTGTGCGTAATATAGTGATGACAGAAAGGAGTTCAGTAAAATCATCTATGAAAGTTCTAGGAGGCCCTGGTGGTCTATAAATGACAAGTTTAGGTGTACCTTTAACTTCTAAACAAAGCTATTCAAAAGAGTCATAACTATGCACTAACTGTTTGCATATCTGTTTCTAAAGATAGAGGCAACACCACCTCCCCTCCTATCAGAGCGAAGCACATTCAGTGATGTGAAATTTGGGGGGGACACTTCAATCAGAACTGGTGCACAGGTACTATCAGACATGGACATAATTTTGACTTTAGAAATTGGGGGGGGGGGGGGGGTGTCTTTACAGTATGCTCTAATGGGAAACAGGCTTCAGCACAGATGCTTGTTTTCCGCTTGGTCCTAGTGCTCAACCAGTGTCTGTTTAATGTAGGGTAATATTGGCTGCATGGTGGCGCAGTTGTTAGCACTGTTGCCTCGCAGCACAAAGGTCGCAGGTTCAAAACTCAGCTGTGGCCTTTCTGCGTGGAGTTGCGTGTTCTCCCCATGCATGCGTGGGTTTCCTCCGGGTACTCCGGTTTCCCCCACAGATCACAACATGCCCTATATAATTGTAAGCCACTTTGGATAAAAGCGTCTGCTAAATAAATAAACATAAACATAAACAATATTGGTTTTAGACAGTAAAAAGTGCAGGGGTCAAAACTTGACTTTGGGAAAAATGGGAGGGACATGTCCCCCCCTGTCTCCCCCAGAATTACATCCATGCTATCAGATAACCAAATCGCTGTTTGGAAGATGGCATCAAGACTGTGAGAGGCGATGAGATAATTTTCTAGAAATTACTTATTACTGAGAGATCTAACATTTAACAAAGCCACCTTTATCGAAGTAACTGGAGGACATTGAGTTGAATTAGATTGATAAGGAACAGGTATCTAGAATTTGGTGCTCGAGACAGGACTTTAAGTCTTGCAGAGATTATGACAGGGATAGGCAAAAGTAAGATTTTGTCAGGCCAACATTTATTCTGGAAATATTTATAACTGTTATCTTTCCCAAAATCTGGACCCAGCCATTCTCAGACAGAAGAAGTAGACAGTTCTCCAGAGGTGATGGAGCGAGTGAGGTATGTGGGCTGGGGTGCTAAGCTAAAAAAGACTTGACTCATAGGTGGAAAAGTTGCTTCCTTTCCAAAACCAGATAAAGAAAATCTCCCTAGGACTTTTTAAAAAGTTGCAAGTGGTGCTTGCTGCAGAACCACAAAGGCGGAGCTGCACCAGAGTCAGCCCCGCCCATTCCATTAGACCCATGAGTAGACCGTTCTGGGTGCTACTTTTCCCGCCTCTGCTGCTAAGCCTTCTTTTAGATCCGGTAATTTCCAGTTTGCTCTAAAATACTTTCTGCTTTTGAAACTCAAAGAGATCCACTACAATGGGATATCTAAAGGAAATTATCGTAGAAAACTTCAAGTCATGGCGTGGGAAACAGATCATCGGTCCTTTTATGCGGTTTAACTGTATAATTGGTACAAATGGCTCTGGTAAGAGAATTTTTAACACTTAGCTAGTTATAGTTAGCTAACTTTTAGCCATTAGCATTGGTATTAACATTTAATATAATTAGTTTTATTAGCTGGGTCTACAGCCATTAGTATAAAATGAATCAGGGTCTGCTTCTCTGGTGATTAAAATTATATAAATAACAATATGGTTTGTTGAGAATATTCCAGAGAATTGAGTGTCATCAGAAAGTATTTTCTTTTTGTTACATGTTAGCATCTTGCCGTTAGCTGTTCTGCAGTGTTAAAACATATTATTGAAGTTGTCCGGAGAAAAGCTGAAGATGTTATATAACTGTAGGGAAGTCCAACGTGATGGATGCCCTGAGCTTCGCCATGGGGGAGCGGGCCGCCTCCCTCCGAGTTAAGCACCTCAGAGACCTGGTTCATGGAGCTCACATCCGTAAGCCGGTGTCCAACACCGCCCGGGTGGCCATGTGCTACTGCAACGACCAGGACCAGGAGACCGTCTTCTGTCGGACAGTCACCGGTCAGTCTGGGCTCTTTGTGCAGTTTTAACTGAGTTTTTCACATCGACAATGTTTCAGCATCTGCAGGAAGAGCACCTGCCTCATTCACCAGTTAACCTCATGTTATTTAAATGTCTCCATGAAAATATTTGCTTCAGTACATATTAGGATATTTAATTAAATATTTATTACTTGTGAAATTCTGAAAAAAGCCAGAGAAATGTACTCATCCTGCCGTATTTTACTGTTAAAATATTGATTAAAGTTATTTTAAGATATTTCATTTTAACTGTCGTGATGCAACATAGGACCCTCTGTATTTTTCAGGGGACTCCTCTGCCTATTACATTAATGGTGCTCACGTTTCGTATGCTACATACAGCCAGGAGCTTGAGAAGATTGGGATTGTGACTAAAGCTCAGAACTGTCTGGTGTTCCAGGTAACCTTCACTGAACTGAAATATCTCCAGCTGTCACACAATGTAAATTTTTCAGGGTTATAGGTGGAGACTCGATGCATCCTGGGCCAGATTTGCAGCTCAGCAGTTCAGTGTTTTCAAAATCTTAAAGAGCAAATTGCAGGTTAAATATTTTTTCTAATTCATATAAAATGCTTTCCAAAAATACTATTTGAAATGCTTATTGTGGATATTTCATTTATAAAATACAGCAGTTTTTTTTCAAGTAAAAGTGGCCTTTCTCAGTAAAGCTTCTAAAACAGCTTTTTTTCTAAATCTCTGACGTAACCAAAGGGAGTGTGGAGAGTGGGTAATTTTAGTGTAGAGAGGGTTTGTTACCAAGTAAGTGTGTGTGTTTACTAGTTTTGGATTGTGTTCATTTTGATAAACTATAGTTTGTGAAGGCTGTACCAACTCCAGCCTGTCTGGACATTAGGGCTGCACAATATATTGAAAAATTATCATCACGATAACAGGACGTGCGATAGGCCCATCGCAAAGCACGTCAAAAACAGCGATAAATGTTTGGTTCAACATTTCCATCCGTGTCAAACATCAACTTTTTGTAAACCAGCTCTGTTTTTTACGTGAAAGTATTGTTTGACCAATCAAATGTAGCCCTTCTGGTATGCGGACAATCAGATGGTTCCGTTCACGTAATTCGCCCGCCCCCTACATAGACCGTAGGATGGAAAGCAACACCCGAACATTAGCGGCGCCGTTCCCTTGTTCGTCTTGCTGGCTCAGAGCAACGAACACATTTTGTGCTGAGGTTTCTGGAATCAGCGCTGCTTTCAAACGTGAACGTGAGTCTGCTCGGTGTTGTTAATCATTTTTACCGGGCTGACTCCGACACGTGCCGGTGAACCAACCCACCTCCATGTTGCTAGTGTTCCACCGGGTGGTGATGTTAGCCCCAGGCTCCGGTTAGCTTCCACCTAAAAGGCTACAGCACTCTCCTCCCAGTCCCATCCTGCTAAAGAGGGCATGGAAAAGTTCCCCCACACATCAAAGTGATTTTTCATTTATGAGCTTTTATAACCTTGTTAATCAGGATAGTTGATTTGCTGCAGCACATAAACTGTCAGTCAGAAGCTCTGCTAGCCGGTTATCTTAGAGGACCTAGTTCAATTTGTTAGCTTGTTATCAGAATCATAGTTGCAGTTTCATCATCTGAGCTGCTTTTTTTTATCTAGGTAAACTTGTTCAACTTGGGGTTAAAACCAAACGTTTTCACATATTTTCCATGTAGTTTTTTTGCCAGTTCCTCTTCTGAAAGGTAGACAATTGTTTTTCTCTTTCCCTCAGAAAATCTTAATGTTCTCCTAGTTTGGCCCAGCACAGTTCACTTCCCAATAGCAGCAACAGCCTTATATCATAACCACATAAGTGGAGAAAATGTTCAGTAGCAATGAGAGAATTTGCTGTTGCATTTAAGTGATGTTAACTATTATTTAACATTTAAAATTATTTATTTATTTGTTCTAAAAACCCTGGTAAGGGATGTTTTTCTGTATTTGGAGCATCAGAAAAGGTTTTATGGTGGAGGTGATGTTTTTAAAGTCACTGAGAAACTGCATGCATGCAGTTTGTTGTTTTGCTGCTAATACAGTAGCAGGTGCAGCTGCATATTTTGCAATAATAATGTTATGTTGTAATGGAATTCATGCATTAGTTTTTGTTTGCTTTGAACCCAGAGCAGACGTCACACGCCAGACGACATCAACACTGCATACTTTAGTATTTGTTCATTTATCGTGAGTAATATCGATATCGCAATATTAAGCACTGTTATGGAATATCGCAGGTTTTCCTAATATCGTGCACCCTACTGGACATCAAGTCCATGGGTTTACAGATAAGAGAAACAACATCTCTATCTCCGTGCCTGAGGGCGTTTTGTGCAGCTGAAAAGACAGACTTCTGTAGCCCACATCGGTCAGTACCGGGACAGGGAGGTCCGCGCTGGGCTCCTTAGACCCGTGGCACGGTTTAAAAAATTAAATGTGGATTTCTGGAACTCATCACTGTCAGAACCAGCTCAGAACTGACCACCTGAAGATACGCGTGGCTCAGCGGGCCAGCTGGTTTCCAGGTCGGAACTGGATCAGAACCGCCGCCTGGACCTCCAGGAGAGGTTGTGCTGCTTTTAAAAATACCAGCTCGAGCTGGCTCCCTGGTGTCTGGGTCGGATCCAGCTCACAGAAGCCTGCATGAGCTCCAGAACCGGATGGCATGCGTCTCTCTCCCTCTCTAAGCGCTAAACTACGTTACGTGAACGGATGTTAACGAGTATGAGGCAGCTGACAGACACTCATTAGTTTATTATTGTCAAGTATTAATATTATATTAACTGATGATACTATTTTAATTGTCAGGTACATGGTAGTAATCTGTACAATGTTGTGATGTTACTTAGCACACAAGTTTAAGGTAACATCGTAAACTCACAAGACACCTGCTGCTCCCCCACTGCTTCTCCTCACATCGCAGCACAATCTCTCTGCTTTGGCCAATCATTTCTCCTCCTGGTTTGTGTCTGCGCTCTGGGGCGTGCAGCAAACACATAACTTTATGGTTTTGGTCCATCATAAGTAAAGTTTCCTCTGTGTCAGAGCTGGCATTAGAATCCATATTTTTCATTTGATTAAGCTAAATGGGCTCCCTCAGCTGCCGTCACTTGGTTTGCCAAAAAAATACTTTCTCACAAAAATTACTCTAAAAGCCTAAATAATTTATGTATGTGTAAAAAAAAAAGAAGTTTAAAACCAGTTTCTATTGTGTTTCTCTAAACATTGGTTCATGGGAGTCTCTAACCTGCAATTTGCTCTTAACAGTAGTTCACATTTTACTTGGTTGTTACTGCAGCAACTGATACCGGAGTTAACTAATGTTTTGTAAAAAAAAAAAAAAAATTATGAAGGGCCCCCACGACCCAACTCCAGATAAACGGAAGAGAATGGATGGATGAAGGGTTTTTAAATATCTGGAATTGTGTTTGAAATAAATAAGTTCAAACTTGACTTGAATGTCTCAATAAAAGGCATTTATTTAGTTAATAAAATAGTAACTGATCATTAGGTCTGTTTGTGCACAAATTATGTGACAGGGATAGGGCTGCACGATATTAGGAAAACCTGCGATATTCGATAACAATGATTATATTGCGATGACAATATTACTTGCGATTAATAAAAACTTAACTTAGGAACTAAAATAATCAAAAACAAAGAAATAAAAAAATCATAAAATGAGAAAAACAAATGATGTGAGGAAAGGGAAAAAGAAAAACAACAAGAAAAGGCAACCAGTGGATCCCAGGATAAGCAGAATCAGCAGAAAGAGCAGAACAAAGCTAACTCTGTCACAATGTGAGTAGGGGGGAGGTTAGGACCCAAGATGCAGTAACCAGGATGACACGAGGCAGGAGTTGTAGAAATAAAGTAAAGTCCATTATTAGGGATAATCGTCCCAAGTCAAACTCCAAAAAGGGCCGGAAGCCAAAAACATAAATCCCAAATCCTAATGCGTAAATCCTAGAGACCAAGTGCTCCTTTAATGAGCAGACTTGGAGATATCCAAAAACCAAGAGACCTAGAAATTTCCAAATACCTAGAGACCAAGAGAGGGAACGAGAACAACGCTGACACAAACAATGGAACGACAAACAGAAACACAGGACTGGGTTTTATACTCAGGGGCTGGGTGATTAGAAGGATTGGGCACAGGTGATATTAATAACCAAGAGGAGGAGCAGAACAGGGCAGGCGAGGAAAGCCTCAACTAAAACCAGTTAAACCAAGCTACTGAACTAAATCACTTAAACACTTTTGAAATAAGACACTGGAGAACTAAAGATAATAAAACTAATGACTTTGGGGTAATAGAACCAAAAACACTGGAAGACAGGGGAGGATGATACCTAAAGGGAGAAACAAACTAGACAATCTACAATAACAGAAAACTAATGAAAAGTTACTAACGGAAACGAGGGAAACCTGGATAGAACCTGGAGGGGGGCTGGGGAACCACAGGGAGGCACATAAGGGGGGATGCAGACAAGGAGACACATGGGGGGAACCTAGAGAGGGATGGAGAACACAAGGAGACACATGAGGGAGACGCAGAATGCAGACCATGACAAACTCAGGTGTTTGCTAGCCATCAAAATTAAGTGCCGTCCACCTCGGGGGCGGACATCTAACCCATGAGAGCCCACCCAAGTGGCCAAATGGGTGAAGAGCTCTATTTGATTTGTTAAAAACAACCTCATGCTTTCGTTTGATTGACAGAATGCATTATGTGTTGCAAACATTTGAGCTGACCTTTCATTGCGATATTTATCTGTTCTTTGCGATATGCATATTGAGCATGCTGATATCGCAATAACGATATCTTTATGATGTATTGTGCAGCCCTAGACATGAATATTGTTAAGTTAATTCATTTTAAGAGTGTCATTGGTCCACCTGTTTGACATGAACCTGCACAGAGACAGAAATACTTTTATTTGGTATAATAGACTTTATAATCGACTTATATAATAGATCTTTGTTAACCTGTTTTTTTAGTTGCAAGTCTGCATTGCTGTGTTGTCAGGGAACTGACAATTTGTAGTTAAATCTATTTGAAACCGTTTGAAACCTAAAGTCAAACATGGACAAAGATGATATGTAATTACCTCTGTGTGTCACCAGGGGGCGGTGGAGTCTATTGCTTTGAAGGATCCAAAGGAGAGAACAAAGATGTTAGAGTGTATGTGTCAGTCCCACGAGTTTGCAGCTGAGTATGAGAAGAAGAAGGAAGCCCTGCTCAAGGCCAGAGAGGACACACAGTTTCACTTCAACAAGAAAAGAACTGTCACTGTGGAAAGAAAACAAATGCATCAAGACAAAATGGAGGTAAAGTCACTAAACAATTCAAATCTAGAAGAATAGACAGACTTGGTTTAATATGGGCGTATTTAGATTATTTTAACAGGAGGCCTAAATTATTATTGCTGATGGTGGACTCATTTAATTTCAAGGCCACAAAACTTTAACAGCATTTGACCTATCAGACCTGAGAAATGTGATGTTTCTTTTGCTAAGGCAAACGCAGAAAAACTATTAATGTCCTTTGAAGACACAAAGCAACTTTAGGTTTTGTTACTGTAGTTACACAAAATAGGAGCCTAAGTCACACCCATCTACTTCCAGACCACAAGTCCCCCGAAGAACAAAAAAAACAACAAAACAAAACAAAGTGTTGAAAAGTAAAATGTAGATAGTCGCATGGGGCCAAAAACGCTATTTTCTAAACCCGCTTGTTATGTGCCATGGATTTCACATATGATGTCCGTGAATTTTAAAGACACATTTTGATACCAAGTAGGGATGCAAATTATCGAGTAATTCATTAATCGATTGTTGTTTCATCTTATCGAACGATGATTGATTGATTGATAAGCGGCAATTTTTCTGAAAAATTGAATTAACCTCTGATTAGGTTCCATCTACTATATATGCAACATAAAATGCCATCTTCTAAATGATATGAAGAAAAAAATGCAAATAATATTCCTTAATCAAAGATTTATTCTGGGATCAGCTGACGGCAGGAAATAACATTTTATAGCAGCTACTTGAAATGAAAATACATCTTTGCTTCTCATCTGCGATATTGGAAAATAAGTAGCAGCAGCATAAAATATACATTCCTGAAAAGAAAAATAGAATATAGGCTCCTTTAACATAGTGCACGTTTCTATGAATAATAATAAAATAAAGTCTGTAAAGCAAATAAGGTGTTGCAGGTGGACCATCAGCAGTATTTATAATCCCTTTTTAACTGTGAAATGTGACAATATCACAATTACGTTGGTAAACCAAAACTGTAGCTCTAGTTAACTTAAAATATAGGCTCCCTGATGACAGTCTTCATAAAACAAACAACCAAAACATCCCTGGTGCTTTTCATAGCATAGATAGACTTATCTATTTTTGTTCAAGAATATCAGCAAATCCACATGGTCAGGAGTAAGTCGTGTGCGCAGCCTGTTAACAGTCAGGCCAGCTGCTGAGAATACTCTCTCAGAAGGGACTGATGTGCCTGGTATGGCCAAGTACTTTCGTGCCAGGTTTGCCAGCCTTGGAAACCTTCCTTCATTGATTTTCCACAATGTTGTGGGACTGGAATCAAGGAGTGGTGGCGGATCCTTCAGAAAGCTGTCCACCTCTTTTTCTACCTCATCGGTGCTCCTGGGGGTATAGTTTTCACCCATGAGCAAAGCATACGCACTGCGTCTCTGAAGTCCAGCTGCCTGGACTGGCACCGCCCGGCCCCGGCCCCCGACCAACTCCTGCTGGCCTCCAATCGCATCTGCTGACGTGGAGCTCTTGCATTCGGCTTCTGCTTCAGTCTCAGCCAGAACTTCAAGCAGTTTGGCATGAGCTGCAACCCTCCTTGGTGGGGTCAGAAATCCCAGGTGCTTGGGCCTATGATCCAGCATGGTTGCCATCATTGGCGGTGTTGACATCAGGTCATCAGAAGCAATCTGTGAAGAAAACAAATAATTAAATCTAAAGTGCCTCTTCACTCCCTGAAGATTGTAAAGCTGCTGAAACACTGAACTGTCTTAAATCAAAACTCAAATTTTTAGAATAGCTTTTGAATTATGTCATAGAACATCATTCATCATTTAGTTTCTTTTCAACTTGCTGCATTAAGCTAATATCTAGGGCTGCAACAAACGATTATTTGGATAATCGATGAATCGGATGGGGTCTCGACATGATTAATCGATTAATCGGATTACATGGGGAAATTTTTAAAAACTGCTAGGGAAACGTTATTTCTCTCCTTCCTTCACTTTATTTAACACAACATTATTAGAAAACAGTTCAATAGCAGAAAAACAACATGCCATCACCTAAATTGTCTTATAAGGTGCATAGACAGAGACCCTAAGCTACATCTTTCTGTGACCTAAAATGCTTGGTCCAATTAAACAGCTTAAGGGCAATTCTCATCTGTTTTGTTTGATCTCATCTGTAGACATTTATTATAACTGGGGATGTCAAACAACTAATTTTTAAATGTAATTAAACATAGGCTGTGAATTAATCAAAATTGATCACTATTTCCAAAAATGACTGAAAAAATAAGTTGTCACACACTCCATGGAAACTTTCAGAGAATCCACAATTAGTGGCTTTCAAATGGTTTTGTTACTTTCTGCAAGTTTAGAAAAGAAGCAGATGAGACAGCATGTCTGATAATTTAGTTTTTCATCTGATAATATTAGAACATGTCAGTGATGCCTGAGGGGCTTTTATAAACACTGTATAACTAACACTACTGGAGAGGGTATGAATTACACAGAGGCTTCTGGGGAGCCCAGTTATTGGGGGGGGGGGGGCATTTTGCCTTGGCCCCCAAAATGTCTTGAAACGGCCCTGGGTGTGTGACTGAGTGTTGAAGGTGACCTGAATAGTATCAAATTTATAAATACTACATGTGTGTAACTTATTGTTTTATACAGGTAAAAACGTGTAGTGGAGATAAATCTATCTACATTTTACTTTTCAACACTTTGTTTTGTTTTGTTGTTTTTATTGAACTATTTTCCTGTCCTGTCTGTCTCTCATCTTCCTGCATCTCCTCTTAATACTCCAGAAAAACTGCTGCCTGGATTCTTACTTTTTCACCTCATCAGTTACTTCTGAGCAGATCAAAGGGATCTCCTGACCGCAAAGCGCAGAGCGCGTTTTCGATGCTGCGTGAGGTGACATCACCACAGCACAGGTGATGAGCTCCGCAGTAGCGCGCTTCAGGCACAAATAAGACAGAAAATAGAGAACATGTGCAGACATGAACGATCGTGTGCTAATTATAGTTTTTTGGTTGCGCCACTTTGAGAATGGACCGTGCGCTGGAAGCAGCTGCCTGGATCGCTGCGCAACAATGCGCTGTGCCGCTCTCTGCTCAAAAGAGTCCAAAAATGATATAATATAGAAAACTTTTTTCCGGCTCCCCGGATGTGTAGGATATACAGCTCCCCCATAATTCGATCCCTGCTCCTGGATGAAAAGCCGGACATTTTCATCAATACAAGAACCCGCAGTCCGGACGCGCCGGACAGAGAGTGAAAAGTGGACATGTCCGGGGAAAACGGAACGTACGGTCACCATAGTCCTCATAAAGCGGGAAATTATAGATACGGTATTTTGCTCGTGCCCTGGGCCCTTTAGAGGTCGTGGGCCCTGGGCAATTGCCCAGTTAATCCGGCCTTGGGCGGAACCGGTTCGCAGCAGCACGAGTCCCCCCGCTCATCTAATAAGCGTCGCGCTCACGACTTTAGACTCTTTTTTTACGAGCTTAGGGCATGTCTAGCCTGTGTAATAATCCGGTACTTGGATGAATCACTTTTGAAAAGTTTTTAATTTACCCGGACACAGAGTTCTCTCCTTCCTCGCTGATGATCCCGACATGCTTGCGTTTAAGACGCTGCATCATCCCGTGCCATGCTAAGTCTGACCTAAACGTTGCAGGTAACGCATGTCTTCGCCTGATTTAACTGAAAATGCTCCCAAACTTAAAAAGCTTTTATTTTTTTGACTCTCGCTGCTTCTGCCATGTTCCTCTCTTCCAAACAACTGCCGGCTCTCCCTCGCGCTGATCTGCCGGCTCTCCCTCGCGCTGATCTCTCTGCGCGCAACGGCGGGCGGGAAGGGGGGGCGCTTTTGGAAGAGTTGTGCGACACAACGAATCGATGACGCAATTCGTTGCCAACGCTTTTAGTAATCGATTTTCATCAAATTTATCGATTCATTGTTGCAGCCCTACTAATATCGTACTTTTTTTCGTTGCCTTGTCTGCTGTTTTTATATTGCTGTCAAATTGTTTTTCTTTTTTGCAAATTTAATGATTTAAAGCACCTTGAATAACTGCTGTTATTGTGCTGTAAGTGTGCTATATGCCTTGTAGGGCTGCAGCAAAGCCTCGATGACGTCGACGGCTCGATTCTAAAAATTTGTCGACATCAGATCCGGTAGTCGACGCACCACGCCCACTTGTTGCATCCCCAGGAGTTTGTAAATAGAGGAGGAATCTGCCTGCTTTTCCTCTAGTTCTCCCTCTTCTCCGCCTTCACTAACATCTCCACCAAATACCGAAGACCCGGAACAATGTCCGTCCGCTACTAGATTCCTTTCCTGTTTTGCCCGCCTTCGTCTCCCGGCAACGGACAACAACTTCCGGGGTCAGATGCGCTGCTTCGTCTCTATCGCAGATGTAGAAAATCACCGGGAGTGTTTCTCCCTTCATAAGGGAGCTTCTTTCAGACATTGGGAGAGCTGTTTTGGTGGTAGCAGTCTCTCTTCCATGCTGGTCTGTTTGCTGCTGGGTATTTTGGTTTATTTAAGCTTGGTAACTTGAACTTAACGTTGGTAAAGCTACTGTTAGCATTTTCGCTAACAGCTTCTTGCGTTTGGATAAGCTGTTAAGTTTTGGTTTAGAGTTAATCTTTTTTGTGGTGCAGATCTCCCTTTTATTACATTTAGAGTGTTGTGGGTTTTTGGTTTAGTTTAAAATGTCACCTTGAGTTTGGTTTAACTGCCCAGTTTAGAGTTTGGACCTTTGGAGATCCTTATTTTGGTCCAGAACCCAGTAATCTTTGCCCAGTGGGACATCCCTACTTATTTGTACTTTTGTTTTAATTCCCACAGGCAGAATTAGTTTTATTATTCCCAACCTGTGGATGGAAAGATTTATGTTTTTTTGTAGTTGTAAATAAACCTGATCATCATTTTAACTTTTAAATCCCGTGTTATTGTCCCTTCCTTTTTGCACACGAGCCCAACTCCCCAGGAAGGGTCGTAACACCACTCGCCTTACGCACATAAGTGACCATAACAAAGCA